CTGTTCTCTAAAAAGTGAACAATGAGTTCTTAATTGACAAATCTCTGATGACCTTTTCTCATTCTCTTCCTTTTTGACCATTCTGTAGCATGTGATGCTTTTGACTTCCCTCTCCTCCCTGGATATTCCTTCCTCTATGTGTTTTTCTGACACTTCTCTCTGACTGCTCCTCAATCTCCTCTGATGGAAGAACAGCATCCTCAGTATCATCACCATTTCTTTCTTCCTTTCCTTTGGTCACCTGAGAAAGAGATATTTGTACTCCTTCTTAAGGACAATTTCTACTTGAGCCTCTGATCCTTTCTTTCCTATCCATAGTCTCTAAGGGCCCTGGCTCCAGCAGTCAGACCCTTTCTTATACCTCCAATCTCTCTCTCTTTCCATGAAACTGTATTTGGATGTCCCTAATTCTTAAAAAAAAAAAAAGAAAATAAAAGAAAAAGGAAAATAAAGCCTTCCTATGACTCCATTTCTCTCCTCCTCTTCACAGTTTAGCTTTGGGGAAAACAGCACAGTAACTTTACTTCTATTTCCTCACCACTAAGTCTCTCTCAACCCCTCGTAATCCAGTTCCAATGTTTACCACTCTACTGAAATTGCTCTCTGAAATGCCATAAAAGCTTTCTAATTTCCATGTATAATGTGGCCTTTCCCCTGTCCTCATCCTCCTTAATTTCACTGCCTCTTTTTACGTTGCTGGCCAGACTCCTTTACCTGTCGTTCAAGGCCTTCTGCTCAATGTAGGACCACCTGACCTGTTGAGGTTTTTTTTTTCCCATATAATCCCATTCCACACACTCTAAATAGTCAGCCATGTTATGCTGGATTTTCATGCTTCTGCATTTGTTCAGATTGTCTTCTATGCCTGGAATGCTCTCCTACTCCCATCTTTGTCCATTAACCCCTACCTCCCATGTACTTTATGTCCTCCATGAAGCCTTCTTTAATGCCCTCAGTAAATTAAGAACTTTCCCCTCCTCAGACCTCACACAGTATGGTTTATTTGTGCCATCAGACATTTTTTAGTACTTTGTACACAGTAGGCAGGTAATAAATGTCTGCTATTTTTACTTATCTCCTTTACTGGACTCTGCATTCCAAGAAGGCAGAAAACAGCAGTGCCTTGTGCACAGGAAGTGCTCAATCAGCACTTGTCAAATGGAGGTAACTTTGGAAATGTTTCGACATAGTCTGAAGCTTATATGTTACAATCATGGAGATATGAACATGGGCCTTCAGCCACTACATGAACGTACTCTGCCCAAGAAGACCCAAAAAAAAAAACCCATGGAACTCTGTCAGTTGGATATAAATCTGGACTGTGTGACAAGGGAAAATTGCTTAAGACATGATGACTTACTGGGAACATTCAGACAGCTCAGAATGACTCACAACCACAAACTCTTTTTGTTCTTTTCACTCAAATATGTGACAATTGTTCTCGAAAGGCTTGGACTAGCTGTTTGGGGGGGGCGGGAAGAGGGAGGGGTGGTGCTAAGCTGCTCGAGACCCTGGAGGTTGTATTGCTTGACAGTTTGGGAAGAGAGGAAGAGATTTTGAGATCAGGACAAGATGGTGGAATTTTCCGCTAGATTAGAGAAGCATTTTTAAACAAGGTCTTGGGAAGAGGGAGCTAAGTAGTCTGTAAGAAATAAAGAGCGTTAATAGGATATATTTTAAATAAATCTCATGTTACGTAAATTTAGAATTTAGTGATTATACTGGTCTAGTAATAAAGTGATGAATAATATAAAGATCATGCTCTGAAGAGAGTCCTCTGCCTAGGCCTCTGGGTCTACAAACCACTAAGGTCCAACCCAGCACATTATCTAGATTTAGGAGCCAGTGCTGCTGGCTTGGACTCCAGTTAAAATGTGGTTATTTTTTAAGTCTTTTAAGGTTTTAGGATGATTCATTAGGATGATTCATTTAGGATGATTAGAGTGATTTAGGATGTTACAGATTGGAAGTAATCAAAGATCATCTATCATAACTCCATTTCTCTATTCATATTTCAAAACAAAATGGGAACCAGAGATGTCAAGTTCTTTGCCCAAGGTCATAAAGCTGATCAGGTAGACCATTTCTGTATCTTAATTGGCCATCAAGGTAAGAAAGCTTGCTTTCTTTAGTGGTAGTAATGTGAGAGGAGAAAATGAAACCCAGAGAGGCAGAGTTTAAAGGATAGAGGGGACCAATGCTGTGATTCTGGATACTAGCTGGAAAACAAGCTCTTCTTCACTCAATGAGATTAGTTGGGCCCTTCTCCTGTGGGGATATCCTTGAGACACCAGATGTGAGTTGAGGATCTGGTCAGGGCATTAAGAGAAACATCTGATTGACCTATGGCCACTAAGATTAACTTTGGTCACTAAATGTGACCTGGGACAAACCTTTGTACTCTCTTTGCAGCTTCTGTTTCCTTATGTGTAAAATGAGGAGGTTTAACTGATAACGTCTAATTCCTTTCCAGCTCTACAATTCTGTTGCTACTGAATCAATACAAAAGTTAATGGCCCAGACTGGAATTCCCTATTCATCCAGTGACTACACAGAAAAGAAATGCAATCACAAGATCCTAGAATTTTAGAGTTTAAAGTAAACTTAGAGATTGTCACATCCAATTCCCTCATTTTCTAGAACTGAACACAAGAGAAGCTGAGTCAGTGGCTCAAGGGGCTATAAGCAGGATGAATTTCTTTTACATTTCAATTGGTGGCCACCAAACTGTTTTGTTGACTAAATCTTCCTCTGATAGTACATGCTACTATGCATGTACTATTATCAGTTATGGCATAATTAAGTGCTTTGTAATAATTTTCAAAGCACAACAAATAATTTTCATTTTTTGCTCCAGGATTTTTAGTGGCTGCTAAATTATGAAATATACCAGGGTCTCTGAAGAATTAAAAATTAGCCCCATTATTTTGGAGGTGAGATGCAGTGTGGTGTAATGCATAGAAAGCCTTCCTTGGAGTTAGGGAGAACTGGACAGGAGTCCTGCTTCTTATATATACTGTTTATGTGGCCCTGGGCAGGTTATTTAACCCTTTGGTGCCCTAGGCAACTCTCTTTAGGATTGTAAATTACAGAGCACATGCTAGCCTGTATCAGTAGAGGCAATTTTCCCGTGCTATTTTGTCACAGGTCAGGTGCCCCCTGAAAAAAAAATCGCTCAGGGGACAATGAAGGAAAAAGGACATCATCAAAGAAACATATGATTGAAAAAGAAGATGGGCTGGTCTTGTGGCAAGAGTGAGAGATAATAGTGGGTATCCTTGTGCTGTCAAGAGAAAGTGAGGAAGGCCACCACTGAAGGTAGACCCCTTTGAAAAACTTATGGGACAAAAGAGACAAGAATCACACAGACTGGGCTGGCAAAGATGGTGGCAGCATTGGCATTGTTAAGATGACTGATCCATTAGCGTATTCTAGTAGCAATCACATCTTATCTGACAACTTAGCTGAATAGTTTCATAATTAGAAGCATTAAATCATCGTAGGCTTAATGTTACAGTGTTAAAATGAATACATAAATCCTGTTCAAGCACAGCAGAGAAATCCACAAAAGGATCTACTATGGAAGTGTCTGTTGTTTCATTGATGTCTTTTAAAAAGTCATTAGCAAAAAAAAAAAAGACATTTGCTGATATACATACCTCTCTCCATTGCACCCTCCCTTGTAACCACAGAAAACTGAGAAGCAAAATTGATCAACAAAGAGATCCCATCTGACTGTGTGTGTATGTGTATCAATAGCAATATCTATATCTATATCTATATCTGTACATATATAGAAGCAATTCAGCTCCTGTTAGTTTCCTTCCTCTCTACCAAGAGGAGGGAAATAAGTTTCACCATCTTTTCTCTACGACTAAGACTGGTCATTACAATTAATAGCTTAGTTGCCTAGGCAGCTAGGTGGCACAGTGGATAAAGCTTTAGTTATGGAGACAGGAAGGCCCAGGTTCAAATCCAGCCTCATACAATGATGACCTGAGAAACTTGTTCAACCTCTCTTTACCCGAGTTTCCTCATCTGCAAAATGGGCATAATAACAGTAACTACTTCTTAGGGTTGTTGTGAGGGTAAAATGAGATAGCATTTATAAAATGTTTTGCAAACCTTAAAAGACATTGTTTTCTTATTATTTTAGTATTGTTTTCATTCACATTATTGTGGCTATTGTGAATATTGTTCTCTTGAGATCATGCTTTCTTTGGAAAATAACTACAGTTTCCGTTAAATGAGTTTAGGATCATAGGATTTAGTTTAAGGGGACCATAGGTCTCATCTACTCTAACCATCTAATTTTTATGGATGGGGAAATATGATGCCCTGAAAGATGGTTAAGTGAATAATCAAAATAGTTCCCTGTTGCATTCTGGGGAGAAAAGGAAGAATTCTTTGCCTTTAGGATGCACTTATGCATACATACAGTACGAGAATCTTATGTCCTACACTTACTTTGTTGAAAAGACAGGATTGTTACTTAGGACTGTTATCATTAGGAATGGGGGCTCATAAAGCAGGACCCTGAAATTACAAAATGCCAAATTAAAATTAGGCCTATCTTCACCCCATAGAATACAAACACCTTGAGAGCAAAACACTTTTATTTTGGGTTTTTTTTTTTGGTCATCCTAGCCTCAGGTGACTCAAGGAGTACTGTAGAAAATGGTTTTGAAAGAGGTTTTCTGGGCTCTTTGTGAAGTTTCAACCCATAATACAGCTATCCAGTAAATCAAAATAGCTTTGTGAAAAGGTTACCTGTAAAATGAAGGTTACCTGTTCATATTAGAAACAAGTTAGAAAAAACTCAAAACACAGTAATTTTAAAAATATGAGTTAGTGAATTGACTAGAATGAATGTATTTTCAAATGCTCAGATTTTGAAATATATGTGGTTTTTTCCTTGGAATTTAGCCATGAGTTTCACAATTTAAATTTTACATGTAGTAAGGGAAATTATATATACATCACAAACACAAATCACTTACATTATCATGAGACCTTTGAGATCTACATCTTCTCCTTTTAAATCATACTTGCTAGTCAGTGAAAGTGAAATTTCAGTCTTTAAGAGCTGATTTAGTGTATTTTCCTTGTTAGGGTCATTGGGATCAACAGCTCCTTCCCCTGTAGGAAAAACAAATATTTATTCTGCTAGCTCACTTACTTATTATAATAACATGATTACTGAAATATATGTGAAAAAAGATTTCTGGAAAAGATGAACTCTTATCCAGTCACTGAGAATGTGTTTGAACAAACCTTCTCATATGTCTATCTGAAAATCACTTTCAGTTTCCTATGGATGTACTTAAGTGGCATTTATCTCTTTTTATTATTATATTTTAAAAAACCCCCAACAAAACCAGTTCTTAAAAAGTTATAATACCTCTATGAAAATACCTCAAAAACCTGGTTCTTAATGGCTGAAAATTGAAAAAAAAAAGGCTTTTGGTGTGTGTGTGTGTGTGTGTGTACATATCTATCTGTCTATGAATCATCAGATAACAAACAGTGTAATATCTAGAACACCCATTCATAAAATAGCAGGTCTGAATAGGGTTGCCCTATTGTGCCTATCAAAAATTCAATGACATATCCTTTCTGCTATAGCTTGATATGTAACAGGACAGAAAACACTTTATATGACAGTCAAGCCAGCCTTGCCAAAGCATCAAAGCACTTTGAGAAAGAAAGAGGAGGCAGCATATACCAGGTCAAACCATCACTACCACCTTAAACACTGTCTGTCTCAGACCCTGATGGAAATAGCCCAGGACTCTAAAAGCATTTTGGAATAGCAAAACTTACAGCCCAGAGTCCAATATCATAAAAGTATTCAACATCATAAACAGATATCATTTTATCAGTGGAAATTATATTAAGGAAGGGGCATTAGTATCTACTTTGTTGCTGTTCTCCAAGAACCTTGGTACCTTTTCATCTGACTTGCAGCTGAAACTTCCATATATTGTCTCTACATCAGAATGTGAGGTGCTTGAGAGCAGGGGCTGTCTTAATTTTCTATTTGTATACCCATTGCTTAACCTATATTAAGTACTTAGTAAATACTTCATTCATTCATTTGTTCATGACTAGCTAAAAACAAATCTTACCAAGAAAAGATTCCACATCAGGGACTTCTCCTAGACCTTCTAGCAACTCATTCAGTGGGTCATCTTTTTCAGAAGCAATTGCATCTTGGTGTTCTAATAGTAGCTTAATATTTAAAAAAAAAAGACATAAAGACAAAAGTCATGAGTTAATTCACAACCTGCCACCCACTATTTAGTCCCTTTCCTAGTTTTTTTTTTTAATTGGCAATACTACTTCTATTAAATGTAGCTGAGAACTTGAATGTGAAATTGGCATTCAATGGATGGGAATGGAAAGAAAGAGACTTTTTTTTCTTTCTTTTAGCTCATGGGGAAGTAGCAAAAGCAGTAGCAGTACACAGGAATGCATAGTGTTGCTATCAGACCTTATTTAAGTATTCTACCTCACAAAGTTTCTTGATCTAGCCTTGCCACCAACCTTGCAGAGCAGATGTTTCATTTTTTTTTAACTTTATAGATCTAGATAACATGTGATTGAATGAAGGTTTTCTCCATCAGGAAGAGGGACTAAAATCAGTAGAAAACATGGGACCTAAGCACAGGGAATAACACTGCCACCTCTCCTGGTGCTCTGCACACAAGAGCTACATAACATGGTGTAAGCTGAATGAGTTGAATGTGTGTGAATGAATTCATTGAATGAACATGTGAGCAGAATGCTACTGAGCTACTAAGTAACTCAGACGCTGGGAAGGGACCCATGCCCAATTCCTGTTTGCAATGCAGCCTTAGTTTCTGCTATTGATTAAGAATTGATTAGGATACTTCTACAGCAGTTCCAGGTTGCATTTTGAGAGGAATTATTTGCCTTTAGGATGCACATAAACAAGTGTGCAGTGAAGATTTTATGTTCTATCTCTGCAGTGCTGAAAAGTGCTTTATAATGCTTACTCATTGACTAATCCTATCTCCTAAAAGGGATAATAAATAGCTAGGATAATATGAACATTTCTCAGACTATAGAATTTTTATCCTATAAAGAAGTAACCATAGGAGTATTAGAATACTAGAGTAATAGAATATAGATATAACTATAGGATTAATATCCCATAGTCTGACAAACAGGTATAAAGTATTTGAAGAGTCTCTTGGGGAGGGGGGTTCTATTTTAAAGACACTCTAGCTTGCCAAAGGCCAGATGGTAACATGAACTTGGGCAGTGAATCATGATACAAGTGTCTATTTGTATGCTTTCTTATCTAAAAGAGACCATTTGCACAATAGCACTCCTTCCAAACTATACTTCCTTTTTAATTTCTGCTTCGAGCTTACCACACAATGGAATCCAAGCCAGTCCCTAAATATGCTTCACATGATTCTGCTTCTGTACCAAATTCTGATGAAAAAGTAATGGGAACAGTATTCCACAGAGAGAAACAACTTACAGATTTTTTCCCTTAAATTAAGAATTAAAAATTGATTTGGATGTGGATATTCTTTCTAAAAGAGTCCCTTGTTGCATTCTTGGAGGAAGAAATTACTTGCCTTTAGCATACATGTAAACACACATGCTGTGAAGATTTTATGTTCTACCTCTACTCTGCTGAAGAGTTATGCTTAATAACTTATGTACAATTTCTCATATTCTGAAAGGTATCCCTTGTATTTGGGGAATCACCAAATCTCAAGAATTGGAAGGGACCTCTGAGCCACTGCTGGTACTGCACCTCTCCTTAAAAACCTCCAGTGTCTCTATTGCTTCTAGGATCAAATGCAAACCCTTTAGCCTGGCATTCAAAGTTTAGAATCGAGCTCCAGCCATTCCGGCTTCATTGCCTTTTGCTCCCTTCCCCTCCTCCCCTTCACAATACTACTTTCCAGCTATATCGGACTCCAAGCTGCTCCTATAACTCAACATACCATCTCCTGCTTTTATGAATTTGCACAAGCCATTCCCCAAGCTTGGAATATGCCCTCTCTCCACAATTCTGTCAATCAGAAATCTCATGTCCTTTCAAGGTTCAGCTTGCTTAGGTGATATCCTCCTTCAAGAAGTCTACCTTAATCTGCTCTCTCCTACCTCTTCTCCTATCATGTGTTAGGCAGCCAAGTGGTGTAGATGGTACCTCGGGCTTGGAGTCAGGAAGACCAAGCCTCAGACTCTTCCTAGACAGGTGACACTGGGCAAGTCACTTAATTACTATTTGTCTCACATTCTTCAACTATAAAATGAGGATAACAATAGCATCTACCGCCCAGGATTGCTATGAGGATCAATTGAGAGAAACTTTGTAAAGGGCTTAGCACAGTGCTTGGTACATAGCAGGCACTTAATAAATCCTTCCCTCCCTTCCTCCCTCCTTCCTTTCTTTCTTTTTGTCCTTCCTGCATTTCCTTAGGAAAGAATGCCATTTCCTTGAAGGCAAGTACTTATTTGTTTTTGTCTTTGTATTCTCAGTACCCAATACAGTGCCTGGCACATAGCAGGTGTTTTATAAATTGTTGTTAAATTGGATTTATGGCTATTTCCCTCATCATCCTGTAGCCATTGTGTTAAAATGTGCTTAGTAAAATAAAGTAAAAATAGAGTATTGTCAAAAGGCTAGATAGACCCTGCCCTGCATAAATTAGTCCCCTGCTTGTCTACAAATTTTCCTTTTGAGAAATTTTATACCACTATACGTGCCTTCTGAGTTTCATAGGAACTTTTAGAAGAGAAGCAAATCCTCTTTATCTGATTTCTGCAGCTCACTTTTTCAGCTGGCCACATAGAGCTGTGGCAATGAACAAAACTGAAAAGGACATCTAAAAAAAAGCATTTAGGGCCTCCCTAAGGAGGCCCAAATTTGTTGGATGCAAATATATATGGCTTGGCAGGGTGAGGGATGGGAGGGATTCTTCTGCTGACCAGAACTTTAAGAGAGCAATGAGAGCATCAGTTAATTTCCTTGTGATCTCTTTGGAAGATAGAGGAACCAAGAGTCAGAATGCAGTCTATCCCCTAAACCACAAGTTTTAGTTCACTAAAAAGTTTATCAAGAAGAAATAAAATGGATTAACTGTGTCCCTTTCTTGCAGATATCACTCAAATCTCAATGATAAAAGGGGAGACTACAGCTGTACACAATGACATTTCATCATTATCTATGGATTTTTAGTGACCTGTGCTATACTTGACTCTCAATATAAAGGGTAACCCCATTAGGAATTCCAGAAAGAAATTTGGGAGAAGGCTCTCTTTTAGGAATATACATTATTTAGTAAATAAAGATGGCTCTACTCTATCTTAAAAAAAAATCCTCAATATCTTAAAAAAACCCCCAAAAAACTCACCAAAGGAGTCACTTTCTCCTGTCTTTAAAAGTATGTAAAGGGGAAATTAGTTATGCCCTTCCATCACAGTTCATTACAAGTATTTGTTGACGATAATGACATTTGTATATGAAGCTGACACATGTAGCCCAGAAATTGTATGTATTAGCAAAAGGTACTTCCCTAGACAAAGAGAAGATCCCCTGTAGGCTGTTGGTAACAGGGTCAGGATGTTGCCTCTATTCCCCACCTCCTGACCAGAGGAAAGTTCTTATCTGCCAGGGAGACAATGACCAAGTCTAGAGAGAATTTCCCAGGGGTGAGAGGTCTGGGTAGTTAGAAAATGGATCTGATTCCTACCAAAAGGTATAGTAATGAAGCAAGGAAAGGATTTCTTCCTGAAGTTATACATTCACTTCTTACCTAGGCAGTATATTATCAGCAAATGCACTTAATTATTTAGGAAATTAAATGTTACAAAGGAACAAGAGTAGGAAGGCTTAATGGTCAAGAAAATTTGGAAATAAAAATAAAATGACATGGGCTTAAATATGCATAAACACAAAACTTCTGTTTAAATAACCACCCTTCCTTTAATACTCACCCTCCCAAAAAACAAACAAAAAACCCCCCTAAAAATTAAGGATATCTCAAAAAATTACATTGATGGTCCTGTTCATTTTCCATGCCAAGCTACTCTCTTTCTACTTACAGAATGAGTGTTGATGATCTCTTCTATTGATATGTATATTATGGGTTTGCTGACTGTGACCATGTCTGTATATTCGTCAATATTAAATTTGTCTTCAGGCTCAGGGACATTACATGCTTCCTGGAAAAAGTTTCTAGCAAAGAAGAAAAGACAGGTAAAGATAACACTAAATTAACTAGGTGAACAGTTTTATCAAAATAACATTCAGAGAATGTGCCCCTTGAACAAGGCAGGAAATCTTCCCTAATCTCCCTCTGGGAGAATTCTCTCTCAGAGCCTCTTCTCTCTGGAATGTGATGTGTATCTCCCACAGCTTATTCACATTTGCCAACATTATAATATCATATATGATATAGACATCTCTATACCCCTAAGGCTCATCAGGAAGGTGACTAGAGAGATGGAGATTCCTCTGTTGATCCTGTCCTCCAAACAAGAACAAAGAATAGTAGAGAATTTTTTTTCTTTTTTCCTTTTTTTTGGTGAGGCAATTGGGGTTAAGTGACTTGCCCACAGTCACACAGCTACTGAGTGTTATATGTTTGAGGTCATTTTTGAACTCAGGTCCTCCTGACTAACAGGGCCGGTGCTCTATTCACTGCGCCACCTCGCTGCCCTGATTTTTTTTTGAGAAGGCCAAAGAATTTCAGGGCCTATTTGATCAAGAACTCATTTCCTTAAGTGAAAGAAAGGAAAGGAAAACTGAGGTGTAGGCTTAATTTTTTTAAACGTTCCCAGATGTTTAAGTCAAATGACTAAAGGAATCTTTTATAGAACAGTTGTGAAATGCTTGTCTTACAAAATAAGTATATATCATCTGATATAAAAAAAAGTTAAAAATAAAACAATAAAATGCAATTTGATGAGCAATGGTCATGTTTCATACTTAAACTCACGTTAGTGTCTTAAAAATAGACACTTCGCTGAGACATGAAGACCTCGAGTGAAATAAATGATATCATATCTTCTGCTCTAAAATTTCATTTGAGCAAGTAAGTAGGAAGCAGCATGTGATGAAACTGCTACTGCTAACTACGTACATTGCTACTGTTTGATAATATAATATATAAAATTACCCATCACTCTAGTACTTCTTTGCTCACTGAAAAGTTTACTATTAACTCAAAAGCAAAGACGGGGATTAAGCAGTGCCACATATGCAAAATATAGATGATATCACAGAAATTATAGTATCTGGAAAAGAGAATCTATTCTAGGGGTGGGGAACCTGCAGCCTCGAGGCCACATGTGGCCCTCTAGGTCCTCAAGTGTGGCCCTTTGACTGAGTCCAAACTTCACGAAACAAATCCCCTTAATAAAAGGATTTGTTCTATAAAACTTAGACTCAGTCAAAAGGCCACACCGAAGGACCTAGAAGGCCCACGTGGCCTTGGGGCCTCAGGTTCCCCACCCCTGCTAGGCTAACAAAAGGGATGCACACCGTACTACCTACCAATCCATCTTCCAAACATTTGGTTCTATCCTTAGTGGTCCTCTGTCTCTAGCAGATCTAGGTTCAAATTTTACCTATGATACCTACTAGTTTTTGTGACCATGGACAAAGTCACTTGACCTTTGTGAGTTTCAAGTAATTAAGGTAAAATGAAAGACAGGTTGTGATTTTCAGTGAAGTGAGTTAAATCACAGATACTTGAAGGACAGTTTTAGACTGCAAACACTAAATCCTGGACAGTTCTTGTAAGCTAGACCTATGGGTCTAGCCAGGCTTGTGTTCTTAGCATAGGTTAAAGACCAATTTTTTTGAAGGGGCCTCTGGTCTAAAACCTATCTTCCTAGCTTTCTGATGATTCAACAACAGGCATTTGGGAAGCATTGGAAAACCAGTGGATAAAATGATGTTCCTGGAGTCAGTAGAACCTGAGTATAAATCTAACCTCAGACACTAGCTATGTGACTTTGGGCAAGTCACTTAATTCTGTTTGCCTCGGTTTCCTTGTCTGCAAAATGAGTTGGAGAATGAAATGGCAAACTGCTTCAGTATCTTTGCCAAGAAAATCCCAAATGGGCTCATGAATAATTCTGCATGATTGGAATGACTGAACAACAACTGAACAAAATATTCTTGCTCACAAATCCCTGCACCTAACATTCTGAAGGATCAGTATAAAGGGCATGAATTACACACCACCTTTACAATATGCAACAAACTGGATTTTCCCAATCCATCAAGTCAAAACAGAATGTTTCCTACAATTGTTTCCTGAAGATGAGACAGGTTCTTCCTGAGTGGGAAAGTGTTCTTTAAAAAGAGAAATACATCACACTCATTATTATTGTAAAGAGGAAAGTATAAGCCCCCAAAATTTTCTCAGTAAAGACAAACCCATGTTGATGTCAGAAAGGTTATTTCACTTAGTTAGTGTTTGCCAGGAAAAAAAAAACTCAGTTGAGAAATGTGTAATGTGTAGTATAAATGTGTGGCCTAAATTACCTTCACAAATAAGAAACTTAATGGAATCCCAAGAGAGAATATGAAACCAAATCATTGAGCAAAGAAGTTACCATGCTGTTATAATAAAGTCAAAGGGAGTATTTTCTACTTTTCTATTAAACTAAAATTCTGATCTATAGCCTAATACCTTAAAAAATCTATTTGCGAAGACTTAGAAATATTTTGCCTTCTGTGGATCTAGTTACTAAGAGGCTATTTGGTTTTAACAGACTATGACTGGGACCAGTAAGAAGGGAAATGCAAAGGAAACATCATTATAACCTATTTTTCAAACACAAAAACATCCTCCAAAGAATATGCTTTTATTTAAATTCCACTGGCAGTTCTTATATGACTAATATCTATGAAGTACCATTGGTAGGCATTAAGGACACACAGAAGAGTGAGGCACAAATCCCACTCTTCTAAGTGTAATCAGAATAAGGAGACGTTGTAGACAAATATAATTCAAGGGAGAATGTGATAAGTTTAAATAAGAAGTCCAAGAAAGTTGTGTCAAGAAATTTGAGAGACTGCTTTTATGTGGGGATATCAGGGAAGAAGATGGTACCCTGGGTTGGGCTTGAATTAAGGAAATAATGGTGTTGGCAAAGAGAGGGAGACAGGAGGAAATAGGGTATGGAAAGCAGTCTAGTTTGGCTAGAAAATTTCTAGAGTATTTCTAGATAAGGCTAGAATGGAAGGAAGGAGAAGAGCATTCATTAAGCACCTACTATGTGCCAGGCACCATATTAAGTGCTTTACAAATATTATCTCATTTGATCCTCTACAACAATCCTGGGAAGTTATTATTCCCATCAAATAGTTAAGGGAGTTGAGGCAAACAGAGATTAAGTGACTTATCCAAGATCACCCAACTAGTAACTGTCTTTATGGCATATTTAGACTCAATTTTTCCTGATTCTAGGTCCAGTATTCTAGCCACTTGCCACCCAGTTAGTTACCTCTAGAATAAGAATGATAGGTTAGAACTAAATTGGGAAGGAGCTTTAATACCAGAATAAAGAGTTTATATATTTATTTGGTAGGCAATAGAGAGGTCTTTGAAAACAGGAGTGACATGATCACTCTTAGGAAGATAATTCACACAATGATATGAAGGCTGGATTTAAGGGCAGATGAATTAGAGGCAAGAAGACCTTTTATTGCAGTCTAATCAAGAATTTATAATGGCTTAAACTAGAATGGTTTCAACAGAAAGGAGGGGATAGAGTGAAGAGAATATACAAACATCAAAGCAGAATCTACAGGATTTGGCAAGTGGATATATGTAGTGAAGGAAAAACAAAGATGGCTCCATAATTATAATTCTAAGTGACTGGTGCTTCCATTAATAGAAATAGAAAGTTTAGAGGGACAGTTTTAAGAGGAAATGAGGTCAGCCATCAAGTGTCCCTGCCTCAGGTCTTTCTCCATTCCGGTCTATCCTCCACTCAGACGTCAAGGTGATCTTTCTCAAGTGTAGTTCTGACCATGTTTCCTCCTGCTCAATGAGCTCCAGTCACTCCTGGTCATCTTCAGGATCAAATATAAAGTCCTCTGTTTATCATTTAATGCTCTTCATAACCTGCCCCTTCCTACTTTTTCAGTTCTCCCTATACTTTCTTCCATTCACTCTAAGATCCAGCTATAGTAGTCTACTGCAGTTTCTTGAGCATTGCACTCTGTGTCTCACCTATGTGCCTTAGTACTGGCTGTCCCACATACCCAGAATGCTCTGTTTTCTGACCTCTGCCTTTAGTCTCCCCCGGCCTCCTTCGAGACTCTGATCATACCCCACCTTCTGTAGGTGTCTCTCCAACTTCTGATGTCTTCCCCTCTGAAATTACTTTCCATTCATATCACATGAATCTTGTACATAGTGAGTTATTTATATGTTGTTTTCTCCATTAGAATGTAAGCTCCTCAAGGGCAGTTTTTGTCTTTCTTTGTAAACCCAGAATTTAACACAGAGTTTCCAGCACATATGAAGACTGAAGGATTAATCTGAGGTTCTAATAAAATATACATGTGAAGATATCTAGTTGACTATTGGTTATCTGGGACTGGAGCTCTGAAGAGAATTTGGGAATAGAACTATAGACTTGAGAAGTGATAACCAAAGCCATGGGAATGGATGAGATCACACAGAGAAGAAAATATGACCAAGGACAGAGCTTCCAAGAGGAGTTGAGGAGCCAACAAGGGAGACAAAAAAAGAAGAGATGTAGGTAGGGGAAGAACTATGAAAACAGTCTTGAAAAAGAAGTATCAAAGAAGAGGTCACAACTTCCAGGTATCAAATACATCAGAGTTGGTCAAGGATAGAATAAGAAGTTTTGGAATTAGTGATAAGGTGGGTCATTTATGTCCCTGGAAGGAGGAATAAAGCCAGATTGACTGAGAAGAATGGTAGTGGGCAACTAGAGGTAGTGAACATAACTATTCTTACTGTTAGCCATAGGTAAGATGGTATCCAAGGTGAATGGGAGCAATGTTTTGAAAGGAAGCGTGATATGGTGGAAAGTATACTGCACTTCAGGCCAGAGGATTTAGGGATGAATTCCATCTCTGCTGCTTAACTGATAAGTGAACTTGGGCAATTCAAATTACATTCTGGGAGTGTCAGTTTCTTCATTTCTAAATTGGGGATAATATTTGCATTATCTTGTAATTTTGTTGCAAGAATTAAATGACAAAGTATATTGCATCTAACTTTCTATCCATCCATTTAAGGAAGCAATAATTATTGTTATTCAGATGGCTTCAATTCTCTTCTCTGATTTCCAAGTAGGTTGAAACTGATTTGAAATAACATCTTTCTTCAGTTCTTTCCTTGATCTTCCTCTTTCCCCCAAACTGGAAAATGGATAGAGAAAGAATCCTAAACCATTATATACAGTTTCTTTTTTCTTCCTCCATGTTAATTTTTGGTCACACAAAATGGGTTTGCTTTCCCCACATACTCACAGAAAAATTTTCTTCCCAAATCACTGGCTGTTCATACCTGAACTTCTCGTATGTCTCTGATAAGTAACTGTTCATGGAAGAAAGATGGTCATTTTCACCTTCAAACATCTTGTTTGAGGCAGCGTGCTGTAGGACTTTGGCCACTGACCCCAAGTTTCTCCTTTGGTCAGGGTGTATCTGACCCCCGGCTGTCATGTCAATGATGTCAAAGCCATCTGGAGCTACTATTGCTGGGTTCATATACCGATAATATAGGAGGTTTCCTATAATCTGCAGAGATGGAAGAAAAATGGAACACTTTTAAAGACAGAACTCAGCTGTAGTTTTTCTGTGATTAGAAAACAATTACAATATTTGCTTATAATTTCTCAAAGAAGTAGAACACCTCTCTAAATCTCTTAAAGACCCTGCTTTGAAGACTTGGATCTCAGATTTCAAGTGGAGAGAACACTGGGCCTGAAGTCAGGATTTAAGGATGGTAGGATAATTATCAACTGATGGGTTTTTGGCCTGCACCAGAGATTTCACTGCTGTGGGTTGACTTCTGGCCTAGAAACCCCCTCCAGCAATGCAGAACAACATCTTCTCTGACTGTTTTGTTTTAAAGAGGTACCCGAAGCACTAATAGTTCAACTACCTTGTCCATGGTCACACAGTGAGTATGTGTCAGGGAAGACTTGAAGTCGGCTTTTCATGACTCCAAGAACAGTCCGCCATTCACTGCACCATGCTGTCTCTACCAGATTATTTATTTACAGAGATAAGTTTGTTTATTATTTTTCTCAAAGCAATAAATAATTGCTTTTTAAATAATAATAAATAATAAAACAAAAAACCCCACAATAATATTGAATACGATATAAACTGTTTATGTTATTAGCATAACTAAGAATCAAAAAAAGTGTGAGAAAGAATATTCTAAGCACTTGTTAACAGAAATATACATATGTAAATACACAAACATGCAAGTATACACACACACACGTATTATTTGAACAGTTTTTAAATAAATGTTTATGAAAACTTGCAAAATGGCATCCTATTACTTCTGGCCCATGTCCCCAAAACAAGCTACAGTGAGACAACTCTAAAATAAAAAATCTACCTTTAATAGCTCATCTTCTGTTGCATCAGGGAATTTCTTATGGAGGGAGTTCTTCAGCACTTTGGCTATATATCTCATTCCATAACTACATATAAAAGATGACAAAAGAAAAATAAAAGTGAGTAAGACAAACCTACAGAAATTGTTCTAGTTAAACAAAATAAAGACATCTTTCTAAAACAAACTAAATTTGAAATGAGATGATATGGAACCAGCCACCCCTGACTAAACAGTAATTTTGTGGTTTTCCTTGAGGCAGGACATAGAGAAAGGGCTCCCTCTATTGGAAGGAAAAAGTGCTATTCATAGAAGTAAACTAAGCATAGCATTGGAATTCTCTTAAAATACTGAGTATAAGTAAAATACACAAAGGCAATTTTTACTAACAGATCTTGGGGAAAATTTTAGGGAACTTCCTAGTAAATATTAAGGGAAAATTCCTATATTCATAACTTGTCACTTACGGTAATAGATCAAGGGAAGAAAATATTGATTCCAAGACTTTATCGGTTACTCTTCGCAGGTTTTGAACAGAAGCCTCTAATTTACTTTTTACTTCAGTGTGTGCTAAGGCTTGTTCTGTTGTGACATCATATGGCAGCTTGCTGAAAACATCAAAGAAATTAAACGGATATCAGTGGCTCATTCTCTTCAACCAAAATCTCACAACTAAGGCATTCTTCAACTAATACAACAGTGACACGGGAAAAGTTCATTACAAAGCAAAATTTTGCCCCCAATGAACTCTATTTTCTCCACTAATGCTAATGAAAAAAGGGAATTTGCAGAAAGCTGGGCTAGGGGAGCAGAACTAGGGGCAGGAGGCATTGCTGCCCAGGTTGCTGGACAAGCCTAACAACCTTGGCTTTGGTGGCAGCAACAGAAGAACTAGCTTTTTCCTGTCAGTACTATGGCAAACAGTCCTTATGGAAAAATGCAGATTTTTCCATTATACAATGAATCCACACCAGAAAACAAGCTTAACATTTACTATAAGTGACGGCTCTGAATTAGCCTGAATTTTTAGTTAACAGATTCAGACCCATTTCCTAATTTACCAACTATGAAGAATAATGCTAAAATTATATAAAGTACAGGATTCTTATACAGAGAAAGTAGTGCTAGAATGCACTAAAAGCCATAACCAATTAAAAAAAACCCTCAGTCTAAGGTAAATTGGTGTTACTCATTAAACTACTATCTCAGTGATCAACAAAGGCACCTATATATTTAAGTAGGGAGAAAGTGAACCACTATTTATTATTTCTGGTTATAAGGCATTTGTAAACATAAATAATAAAGATAAGAGGATTATAGATAATTTGGCCTCTGATAATCAATTTTAAAGGAAAGGAAGTATAAAATTGATTGTCAAGATGATCTAGTTAAAGAAAAATAGTCACATTTCAATTATGTGAGGGGTGGGATGATGAGGAAGGGAGGAGGGAGAGGAAAAGAAAGAGGGAGAGGTGAAGGAGACAGACAGAGAAAAGGATCCAGGGAGGGAGGAAAAGGAGAAGGGGAGACACAAGAGGGTCTGGGGAGGGAAGAAAGGAGAAGGAGGAGAAGAGAGGAAAGAGAAAAAAAGAGAGAGAAAGGAGAGCAGATAGGAAAAAAAGGAGAGAAAAGAGGGACAGGAGAGGGAGGAGGAGGATGACATGGAGAGAATAGAGAAAAAGGTTAAGTGCATACTACATGGAATAATAAAGGATTTCATGAATTTTAGTATCCTACCCAGCACATATAAACACATATATAAACACACAGGTATGGATATGCATAGTTGTTCATGTCAAGCCATTATATACACCAACGCTTCAAAAGATGGGCAGTTTCACTGGATATGGATATTCATTGCACCAATGTAGATCATTACCCTTCCATGATTTAGAACATGGCCGTCATGAGATGTTAGGGTAAAACAAAACAGCAGCAATAGCAGCAGCACCACACACACACACACACACACACACACGACATCAAAAAACTCATCTGTGACCAGCCAGATGAGGGGAGGCACCTCTGAGATTAGCTAGACTGGCTCTCAGATGCCAATCCATGGCCAGAAATGCAGTGAAAATCCTTCCAGCTTGCAGGACCTGTCAGAACGTGTGCCTTTGAGAGCCCAGAGTCACCTTGCTTCGGTAAAGCACTGGAGAGGCTTTACTGGAGGAAAGCTGTTATATATTATGGCTATAATTCAGGTTTTGGGGGAGGGGAAGGGCAGGTGGGAGGAATTGAGGGTGTTTTGTTACCTGGCCTCTCCAGTCTGCATTTCTAATTGGTTAACCCACGCCTTGTACACGTCCACTGGGTTCGTATTGATGACAAGGGATTTATCATCAATGATCTCTTTCACCACTGGGGCAAGCAGCTGACGCAGACTGTTCTGTCCTCGGGCTCCTCTGTTGAAGCTAACAACCATTTTAATGACAGTTGGGTTCCCAGTCACTATTTCCTGTACCTGATCCACTTTGGATCTATTAAGAACCAAAACAATAAAAATCAAAACCAGTTTGCTCCTATGGTCCCAGAATCCATTTCTCTGCTACGTAAAATCATTTCTTGTCATTTCTTTTTTTTTAAAAAAATATTTTTTTAAGGCAATTGGGGTTAAGTGACTTCCCCAGGGTCACACAGCTAGTAAGTGTCAAGTGTTTGGTCTGAGATTTGAATTCAGGTCCTCCTGACTTCAGGGCTGGTGCTGTAGCCACTGAGCCACCTAGCCGCCCCTCGTCATTTTTTTTCCACAAAAATCATAATTTAAATAGTCATCATTTGCTCTGGAACCATGCCCCTCCCATGGAGGCATTAAGAATGGTTTTTCATTATTCTTCATTTTATTGGCTCAAGAATAAAGCCAGCACAAAAACATTGTCTGGACTGATTTTTCTATCCCATTTAACAAGTACTTGCTAAGTATGTCCTATGCCCCAGGTACTGCTTCTTTCCTTGAACCTTTCATTTCCAGACTTCTCAAATATGGTGTCTGTACCCATATCCTATACTTTTTTTTTTAAACCACTCATCCCTTTTTAACTTAAGGAAATCTTGCTTCTATTTCTGCTCTAAAAAAGCCCTCTTCAAGGTCAGTGACCTCCCATTCACCAGATACAATGGCCTTTAGTCTTCTTTTTCCTTGAGTTCTTTGTAACATCTGACATCGATGACTTTTTCTCTTTCCAGAAACCTGGTTTCCCCTTCCACCTTTGTGACTGTTCCGTGATAACTTTTCCTGTGTCCTGAACCCCTAAATGTCTTCAATTGTCCTCTCTCCCTCCCTCTGGGTGATGTCATCTATTTCCATGATTTCAATCGACAAGCATTTATGAAGTACTTACAATGTACCAGGCACTGTCCTAAGCGCTGGGGATATAAAGAACAAGCAAAAACAGTCCCTCCCCTCGAGGTGCTTACATTCTAATGGGAGAGACAACACAAAATAATAACTGTATACAAGATACAAGTAGAGAGAACGTAACCCAAATGGGCAGGGATTAGTAGCGGAAAAAGCCTCCTACAGAAAGAAGCCCTTGTGCTGAGTTTTGAAGGAATCCGAGGTCTCTACCTGAGGTTAGAGGTTTCAACCGTACCTTCTATGTGAACGATTCCCAACACTATCAATCCAGCTCTGACTTCTCTTTTAAATTATGGTGCCAATTTTCCAGTTGTCCATTGGACAGCACTACTTGGCTCTCATGCAGGCACCTCTAATTCAGTATTCCTAAAGCTTAATTAATTACCAAGGACAAATGGCAGCAACAACAACCAATTATCATCTCCTTCAAATCAATTTCTCCCCCCAACCCCAAATTTCTTCCCCTTTCATCTCCTTTCCTCTTTCCTTCCTCCTCCTCTCTTAGATATGTGCAGTAGAAAGAGTGTTGATTTTGGAGCCTGATGACTTAGGTTCACATCCTGACTTTGGGACTTAGAACCGGTGGGACTGCACAAATTCCTTAAGATCAATAAGGCTCAGTTCATCATCTGCAAAATGAAGGGAATGGAAGGGAATAGGATCTATGAAGTTCCTCAGAGCTTTAAATCTATGATTCTTTGATCTATCCTCCCATCAATTGGGCCCAAGAGCTCTGAGTTGTGTTTGATTACTTTATCTAAAAAACACAGTGTTGGAGCAGCTAGGTGGTTCAGTGGATAGAGCACCAGCCGTGGAGTCAGGAGGACCTGAGTTCAAATCTGGCCTCTGACACTTACTAGCTGGGTGACCCTGGGCAAGTCACTTCGCACCAATGGCCAAAAACAAACAAAAACAAAGAAACAAACAAAAAACCAGCGTTATCTTCGAGAAGAAACTATTTTTAATTCTTTCTTCTCAAACCCTGCATGCAACTGGTCACTAATCCCTATTGATTCTTCCTTTTCAACCTCTAACATTCACTTATTTTTTTCCATTCCCACTGTTGTTGTTCAGTCATTTCAGTTATTTTGTGATCCCATGTGGGCGTTTCTTGGCAAAGATACTGGAGAGGTTTACCATTTTCTTCTCCAGCTCTTTACCGATGAGGCAACCGAGGCAAACAGGGTGAAGTGACTTACCCAGGGTCACACAGCTAGTAAGTGTCTGAGGCCAGATTTGAACTCAGGTCTTACCAACTCCAGGTCTAGTGCTTTATCCTACACCACCTAGCTGCCCCAAGTCTTAGAACACTTACCTTTAATTTTAGGTATTTATATAAATTAGTAATTTTTCAGAGCACTGCCATAAAAATATACTAAGATACTAATTTTTGGGTAAACCATGTCATTCGAGGAACAGCCACAATACAAAGATATAGTGTTTATCAGCCTGGTACACATTAGTTAGCTTACATACTCACTCTATTTCCTCCTCTAGGGCAGTTTTAAAAAGCTTGAGAAGCAGATATTCCTCTCGCTGATTGGAAGCATAATTGTATAGTGTGAAAATTACAGTGTCCATGAACTTGGTTGACTTGTTCTGAGGCATCTGGAAAATCAGCTTAGCCAGATACGTAGGATTGGTCTAAAGAGGAGAATGAGGGAAACAGCAAAGAAGAAAAAACCCCACATTTCAGGTTAATTTATATCATTTAAGTAGGTAACAGTTTTCTACTTCCTACTATAAGAAAACTAAATTAAGAAGTAAATGTTAATGGAAATACTATGTAGGAAGAAATTTAATAATTCCCTTTACCCCCACCACTAATCTTTCTTTTTAAGAAGATAAAGTTTTTCACTTTTATAAACAGAGAAATGACCATATTACCTAATAAGGACCCTTCTGGCTACAATGTCCTATGAGTCTAAGGGGCATTCGAATGATGTTTGCTTTAGGGTTCTATGAATAAAAGTTGTGGTTTTTAAGAAGTATTCAAAGGAAACCAAATACTTGATATGAAGTAAAATAAATGTTCTTCAAGGTCTCTTTAAATCTATGATCTTATGCCCTATAACTGTTTTCAGGCAGATATTTATAGTGCTTTTTCCACTGGCTATTAGCTGGTTAAAATTTGACAAAATAAAATAAAACTGGCCACCACTACTAAGACATTTGGAAATTGATTTCTCGATATTTAATGCTGCCTTATCTTTTCCATCTCAAGCTATGTGGAAATGACAACAGAAAGCAAGCATATCATATCCCGTATAGAACGATGGCATGCCTTTTTCTAAATAGTGGCAGAATTTAAGATTTCTAGACTAGTCAACATAGGAGCTTTACTATAGAAAAACTTATACAGTCACTTATTGTTTTCTGATAAGAGTTCAGCCTATTGATTGATAAAAGGTTGTAAAGGAAAAGTTATAATTTTTCAATAATATTCATTGATCATTGATCCTGGGCTAAATATCCCAAAAGGGACAACCTCCACACACGACCCCCTCCCCTGCAGCATTGGAGAAAAATAAATGATTTCAAAGAAAGTATAAAGTGGATGCAAAAGACTAGGACTAAAGTAAAATTTAAACTGCATTTTTTTGGGGGGCCAGAAGTTATGAGTAGCAGTATACAGGCCTCCATTGCTCCTAGGTTAATACCTACATAAATGTGAGGCAGGCCATCTTATTATTATATTTTTATGTGTCACGGACACTGTTGGCAGTCTGGTAGACCTTATAGAAATTTTTCTGAGAATGTTTTTATATGTATAAAATAAAACCAAAATAGTTTAAAAAATTTTATTAATTTATTTTGATTTATCAACAATCACTTCCATATGCTTTTGAGTTGAAAATTTTTCTCCCTCCTCCTCCCCTCCACCCTCCCCAAGATGGCGCACAATCTGATACAGGCTTTACATTTACGTTCCTATTAAACATATTTTCACATTAGTGAAGTTGTAAGTAAAAATTAAAACCAATAGGAGGAACCATCAGAAAGATGAAACAAAACTCAACAGAAGGTAAAAATAAGTGATAACGATTCGACTTCCATAGTTCTTTCTTTGGATGTGGACAGCCTTTTCCATCCCAAGGCCTCTGGAGATGTCCCAGATCCTTGCAATGCTGAGAAGGGTTCGGTTTAACAATATTAGTCATTGCATAGTGTGGCTGTTATTGTGTACAACGTCCTCTTGGTTCTGCTCACTTCACTCAGCCAAAATAGTTTTTTCAAAGGAAACCAATTATATCGAAAAAGAATTAGCAAAACATTTTTCCTAAAGTTCACAAACCCCAAGGTAAGAACCTCAATAGAGAAACATACACATATACATATGTAAAATATAATCAAGTATATAAGGATATATCTGTAATCATGTATGTATATAGATATATAATACAGTATATATAGCATAGTATTTATAGTATATACACACATATCTATATAAATATGCATAAAGAAACAAACTATACACATATACACACATATAAATATGTATATATAAAGATACTTACACTACATATATTTATATAGCATGCAAAGCATATATGTATAGCATTATATAATGTATACATAGCATATATGTAGTGTTATATAGTGTATACATAGCATGTATGTATAGTATTATATAGTGTATGTATAGTATTGTTTAATATATATGTGTGTATAGTGTTATATAGTGTATATAAGTATATATGTACATATAGCATATATGCATAGTATTATATAGTGTGTGTATATATAGCATACATGTATAGTGTTATATGGTGTCTATATATAGTATATACGTATAGTGTTATATAGCATAACAGCATATATGTATGGAATTATAGTGTGTGTGTATATGTACATACATATATAAAATATTATATAGTATTATATAGTGTGTATGTATGTATGTATGTATGTATGTATGTATGGTATTATAGAGCGTACACACCATCCAGAAGCTGAATCATCTTAGGAGAGCTAGGTATGGGAAGCCACCTTCTCCAAGAGCATCATTGTCTACCATGGCAAGTGCATCCTTCTTTCCCATGGTGCCCCCTTAGGGATGGAGGCAGTTTATAGGAACAGGAAGCATTGAGAATGCAAGGACAAGGGAAGGGGAATAACAAATACAGACATAAACTAGTATAGAATTTATGAAGGAGACTAATCCTGATAAGGGTTGCATGACTTCATACCCTGGATGATTCCTGCTTCTGTCTGACATTACTTCCTCTTGCATGAATATTTCTAAGAGTCAGGCACAGAAGAAAAAAGGGGAAGGGGATGAAGCAAGACTTGTAATGGCAATCATATAGAAGCTAATGAGAAGAAGGAGCTCAAATCTAGCACTCTGGAAACTTTCGCCCAAAAGGGGACATGTTAGAGACTAAGGGAGAAGGATCGGACCTTGCAGGTGCAGATTTATTAGTATATAGAGGAACTCCTGGGTGAGGAAACACCTTTGTCTTATGTGGGACATACACAAAAAGTGAGGTTGGACTAGATGACCTCTACGATCCCTGCCAGTCCTAAATCTGTGATCCTAGGAACTCTATGGTGTAATTGATATATACTATTATTATTTTCTCCCTGGGAAATTTTTGCATTAGCATATTTTCTATAGTATAGTGGGAAAAGCATCGGATTTGAGCCAGTGGACCTGGGTTGGGCTCTTGGCCTTGTTGCTTACCACCGCTGTGACGCCGGGAAAGATATTTCTCTTCCTTAAGGCTCATTGTCTCCACTGAGAATTTGAGGTTGCTGGACCTCTAGATAACTTTTAAGATCCTCTCTTGCCCTAAGTCACATACGGAGTGTCACTGCATACGGATAGTGTGGTTTTCTAACAAAGATTTCTTAAAAGGAAGTGACTCAAGTTGTAAAGTGCACCTCAGAGAGGGAGGAAATGTGGTACAATGAGTAGTGTATGGGACTTGAAATAAAGAGACATAGATTTTAGTTCTAACTCACTTAATTTCTTTGGACCTCAGTTTCCTCATCTGCACAATGTGCAATAACAGCATCAACCTCACAGAGTTGTCTTAAGGATATATATAAATAGACAGAGATAGGTATACACACATACATATATATACACATAATACATACATACATATACATATATATATATATATATACACACACACGTACATACACACACACACATATAAGTATATATGTATGTATATGGGCACCCACATAAATCACTTTGTAAACCTCAAAGTGCTAAATCTTATTTTTATAATTGTAACAGTCTATAAATGTAAGTAGTTTTCCATTAGTCATAATGGATTTGCATTAATATTGTATTTGCTCATCTAATTTCCTTTGAAACCAACAGCATGCATTTTTTGAGATAGAAGCCATGATTAGGGGTGAAAAACAGAAAAAAAAATGAGCCTAAAGCCTAGCTACACCAATCAGAGCTACAAACCCTCACTAACTTTCTGGGAGCATAGAAAATTGAAAAGTCACTGAGAGTTCTAACCTGGAAATTGAAAAAAATGAAAGTTTCTTGTCCCTCCAAAGCACCAATTTTCTTTAGTAGGAAAGGGTAGGATAAAACCGAGGGTGCCCTAGAGTATTAATCATAGAACCTAAGGACTCTCTTAGGTTAGATTAGGGCTGCTGAGTGTCTGTTTGTCTCTCTTGTCCTCTTGCCCCATACTTTCCCCCACCATGGGTGGTAGGCCATATTTTCTTAGTTTAGGGTTGGTATGGATTAATTACCTAACCAAATTAGAGTTCAGCTCCCATCCTGCTTAACATCTTCCCTTTCTTCAATTACTAGCCTCTTTTAAAAAAATCTATTCACTTACAAAACAGTAATAAGAATATTAGAAATGGATAAAATAATAATAAAAAAGAAGGGATAAAGAGATTTCCCCAGAAAATTCCTGCTCCCCATAACAAGGAGTCATTTTCATTTTTCCTTGACTCTTAAAGTATTTACTCATGCTATAGATTTGTGATGTTTCTCTAAATAATTAAATGCAGAATAAAAAATAACTTATACATGTATAAGTTACAGGCAAGAGAACAAGGTGGTTTGGTCTATAAACTACACTTGCTCTTACCTGTAGAATGTAGAATAGCTGCTGGTAGGCTTCCAGTTTTTTCCTCTTCTCCTTACTCAGACTTTTAATTCCTTGTTTTTCATTGCCACTCAACATCAATTCTTCGCATGTTTTCTTATTCATCTTTTTCCTATATGAAATAACATCCTGTAGGGAAATTATAAAGAAGTTAACACTCTTTATTCTTCATTATGATCATCTTCTTATACTAGGGGTCTCCCCTCCAACATACACAAAGGACACAAGGCTGGTATTTCTCCATGAAGAAACCAAGAAAAAAAAGTTAAACATATTAAGGGAAATTTCCACATTAAAAATATTTTCCAATGCGTAATAGGTTCATAGCTCTACAATTGGAAGGGACCATCTAATCCAACCCCTTCATACAAGAGATGAGGAAACTGAGTCCCAGGGAGGGTTGAGTTTCTTACTCAAAGATCTCAGGTAATAAGTGCTGGAAGCAGGATTTGAATATAGGTCCTGTAACTCCAGAACCAATACTTTTTTGCACTGTTTCAGTGACAGAGGAAAAAGGAAAGTTGCCCCAATTGATTTCTTGTTTAATTTTCTGAATAGGCTCATTCTTGAGTCTACAATTGCTCTAGTTAATCTAAGCCTCAACTCCTACCATATCTCAGAAAATACAGTTAACCAGATCTTGAAAAAAACACAGATAGCAGTGACTTTTCTCTGGGATCATCTACTACCCCATCACCACTTTCCAATTGTTGGAGTCATTCAGCACAAGTGACAGCCTGTGGCCTCATAGTCCATGACAGTCATAATTGCTACTGGCTCCTTTGCTTATCAGCCTTATGAATTCCTCCTTTCCTACAGCCCAGAGACTTTTTCTGTTTTCAACTACTAAACCTAGATTGGGGTTCTTTTTCTGTTTTCCTTTCAGCTTATGATAAACTGCTCTAATTCCTCTCTATCGTGCAATCAGGCAATTTCTGCTCAAGATCTCACTCTTACAAACATCTGAACTCTTATTACTGTGTACGTCTCTTATGTGTTTAGAATATTCTATTTTGTATTAAATTTATCTATGTAATAGAGAATATAGCTAAGCAACTAGGTGGCAACGTGGATACAGTTCTGGACTGGGAATCAGGAAAACCTGAGTTTGAATCATGTCTCAAATATTTACTAGGTATATGTCCTTGGGCAAATCACTTAACCTTTGTGCCTCAGTTTCCTCATTTGTAAAATGGAAATTACAATAGCATTTAGGTCACAAAGCTATTGTGAAAAACAAATGAGATGAAGTACATAAAGTGCTTTGCAAACCTTATAGTGCCATATAGATGTTAGCTATTATTATTATTAGTTTTTTTGTTGTTATTGTTTGTCCTTCATTTTCAAAGAGGACCAATGACATCACGGGGTGATGTCTTGAACTGGGTTTAAGTGAGGTAGAGTTGCACAAGGTCATACTCTGGCATATCTTTGAGGACAGTGGCTTTACTTTTTTTCATCTCCATATCCCCAGTCACTTGGGACATTGTGCATAGCACAATACCCTATACAAAATAAGCATGTAATAAATCTTTGCTTTACTTGCTGACTTGTAGAAGTTCTTATTTTAAAATAATTAGTGAGTCTTACAGCTGCTTAATAAGAGAATTATTCTTATTTTTAAATAGAATAAGTCTATAGCCATTATATTGACTTAAAATAATACCCATGAAATATTGAAGTCTGTAGGAGATATTAAAATATCCATTGTTTAAATATGCAGAACCAAGTTCATAATACCCAGACACTAAGTGATATCATCTCTCAGTAAGTACCACCAGAGCTGAAGTACTTCCATGAATATATCCAGAAATCACTACAAGAATTCCACAAAAGGTGATGCTGTAATGGATGAGATTTCTAGTTGTTGTCTTTCATAAGACATCATCAGTCTATTCTCAAGAAAATTTTAAAACTCCCAAACTTTTCTAAAGATCAGATAGTCCACTATGACTGGATTCCTACGCGGTGGCAAGTATTTAAACTATTTACAATTTTAGAACTAAGCCTCTTTTAGATGGAAACCATTTCCTGTTTACATATTGAAAACATGTTAAACTTCTTTGGAGTTTAAAAATAACAAGAGCTACCCTTCAGAAATTCTCATTTGACTAAAATGATGCTACCTTTTAAAATCACATACCACTGTTCAGGACGGTTTACAAAATAACACAAATTGTATTCTAACAATCAGGCATTTCAAGAGATGGGGTATTCAGTCGTAGGCTACCCCTTCCTTCTCAGCTCTCCCCTCCTTTCAGACCTGTGATTTTATTTCTGCAGGGAACCCAGAGGGAGAAGACTCCCTTGACCAAAGCAACCCATCAACTGTGCTGCAATTTATAGTTGTCTGGGGCCACTGAGAGGCCATATAACTTTCCCAGAGTCACACAGCCATCACGTGACTATGGTGGACCTGAACCCAGAGCTTCTGGATTCCAAGGCTGCCACTCAATCTACCATACCTTTGAGGTTTACATTCATCCCTGTCTTTTCCTAATACATCCCTTCCTTCCAGCATTGGTGCAGTTATTGGAACTGAATTTAATTCAATCAGATAAGCATTAAGCGCTATGCCCAAAAGCATATAGCCGTAGTTGCTGTTGGTTTTAGGCATCGCAGATAAAAGACAAAAAAAATGCAGTACAATCTAAGAGCATAAGGGAGAAGGAAGAAAGAGGTGATTGAACGTAGACACTTCATTGCTTGAGAGTTTTGGAGGGCAGTGGGGAAGGAGATGCTCTCCTGTAATGGCTACAGCTGGCTTCTGAATTCCTTAATAACTCAATGTTTTTGTTCTTTAGGACTCTTCTTTAGCAGAGTGTTCTACCCTATAAGGCACTGAGGTGTCTAGCTATTTGGAAGTAGGCAGAAAATGAAGGGCAGGAGGCAATGGCTGAACATCTGTCTTGTTCTGATGTTATGCCTCAAAACAAAACAAACGAAAAAGTCAGTCCCTGAAACAGTACTCCAGAACCAAATGGCTTGGTATCAGGGGACTTCGTCCTGCCTGCTGAGAACAGAATTTAAGAGGCTATAATGTAAACGCCCGGATGGAGAAAGGAAGGATGAAAAGGAGAAAACATCTTTCTTAATTAACTAGGCTTTCACTTCATCTGCATCTATGATTTTTTTTTAAAGTGAAAATGAGTCCCAAGGGCCTACTGTGGTTGCTAATTAGAAGATGCCCCACAATATGGCTTCTCCCTACTCATTTAGCCATGTCACCTCCTCTTTGAAGTCTCTTAGGATTTCCCCAGTTATCAGTGCTTCCTCTCTCCCCCTTTACTTTTTTTTCCAGGCTTATGTGTTTGCTCTTTCTAATCCACCACTACTCTCCTCCCTTCATGGTACAATGTCAGTTTTAAGACAGGGACTATTTTTTACTCCTATATCAACAGTACCTATTATGAGGCCTAGGGTACCACAGGTGCTTAATAAATACTTAATTGAATTAGAGTTTAGTAGTGTCCAGCCACCTGCCATCAGTTGCTCCTTCTCACCAATTCCTTTGTCCCTAGAGCTGCATTCAGGATTCCCATTCCATCTCTCCCTCCCCCACCCTCTACACCTCAGGACTCCTTTGTGGAAAGTCTCTTGTGAAATACAGATCCAAGGTGCCCCCAAAATCTTAGTGCTGTTTTAAGCTTTAATAAGGAAATCAGGGATAGCTAGGTGGTGCAGTGGATAGGGTCTAGAACCTTGAGTCAGGAAGGCCTGAGTTCAAATTTGGCCTCAGATACTTACTGGCTGTGTGATCCTGGGTAGTCACTTAACAATGTTTGCCTCAGTTTCCTCAGCTGTAAAATGAGCTGAAGAAGGTAACAGCAAATCTATTCCAGTATCTTTTCCAAGAAAACCTCAAATGGGTCATAAGAAGAAATGACTGAACAACAACAAAGGAAATCAGGCTTCAATTTTCAATTAAAGCTATTAAGCTTTAATTTAAGAGCTTAAAACTACATTAAGACTTTTGGAACATACGTATAACTAGCTTTTTTGTTTGTTTGTTTTTGTTGTTGTTTTTTCCCTAAGCCAGAACCCAGAACAAAAGGTCTTTTTTGCCAGACCACAACTTCATGAACTTTTTCAATGGGCTGGTATGACGTACGTGGGCTATCCTTCCTTGCACGTGAGTATGAGCTCAAAGGTCATCTATTCCAAGTTCCTCCTTTTACAGAAGAGGAAACTGAGATCACAGGCATTAAATGATATGCCAGCTTCGGGAAAGGAGTAAGAATTTACATAGGGCCTATTTACCATGTGCCAGGGACTGTGCTATGGACATTGTATGAATATTATCTCATCAGATCCTCGAAACAACCCTGTGAGGTAGGTGCTTATCATCTCCATTTTACAGTTGAGGAAACTGAGGCAAACTGAGGTTAAGTGACTTACCCAGGATCACATGAATGGTTTAATCCAGATTTGAATTTATGCTGGACTCCAGGCCCAGCACTCAATTTACTGTACCACCAGCTGCCTCCAGGAAGCTATTAAGTTGTAGGTCTAAGATTCAAATGTAGGTACCTTGACTCCAAATTCAGAATTTTCCCCCTGTATCATACAGATGCCTCAGTGTGTTTGTTTATACATGGTTTTGATACATGTACTATGGACTAGTGCAAACACACACATATGTATATGTATATATACATATAGACAGATAACTAGAAAGAATCTATGGCCTGTTGAGTCTCCATTTTTGGTGGCTAAGATATATTTTAAGTATAGTACTTAGCAATTTTCTAAGATAGTAGAATTTCCTATCTTGTGCAGGCTGGAAGTACAGTAGCCAGTCACAGAATGAATCCCACTGCTAATCAGTATACCAGTTTTGACCAGCTCCATTTCCCAGCTGGGCCAGATCACCCTTCTTTAGGCAGCCTGGTGGCTCTTCTGCTCCCAGAGGCTTACTATATCGGTGTTGGAAGGATTGAGGACGCTGAAAGGCTTTAGTTCTGCTGCGGTTCAGAACTCCAGAGCTCAAGCAATACACTAGTCTCAGCTTTCCCCAAAACTAGGGATTATGGCCACATGCCACAGTTCCCAGTCTGTCAATACATTTTAATGCAGTTTGGGGAAAAAATGCAATAGAACTCTCCTAGAAATGGAACTTTCTTAGAAAATCTAGAGCATATGGAACATAACAGGATCATGGCCTGGATCATTAAAATAATGTTTCCAAAGTAACTATCACAAATTATACACAGAGGTGAAATTGAGATATTCCATTTATTTAAAAAAAAATGGCAAACGAACCTTGAACAATTCACCCTGAGCTCTAAATGGGTTTAGCTGAATAATGGCATTGTGTCCTCACACATGTGTTTATGTCTACGCCTTTACTAGACAAGAGTTGGGGGAAATCCTACTGACCTGCAGAGTGATCCTGTTTTTTACCAGAAGTCCAATCTTTATGTCCATCAAGTTCAAGTCTTTTTCCAGCTGTTGATTAGCTCTGATTGTGGTAACTACTTGTTCCCTTAATCTTGTCCTTTCCAGTTCTTCTTGTAAATCTAAATCACTTTGGTCCAACAGATACAAAAACTTGCACAAAACAGGCAAAGGAGGATTTTTATCATTCACTGCAGAGAAAGGAGAATACATGCATAGTTTTAATTTGTTTGCATGGTCCTAATGACTATAGGTGGGAAAATTAGACCTTGGTTGTTATAACTTTAGATCCTTAGAATACATGTTAAGTAAAGTACTCAGCCTGATGTTTGACCATTTCTACTTCTTTTAAATCTGAACAAGAGAAACACAAACAGCAGAATAATAAAATGTACCCTCAAAACAAATACTAATGAACACATGATCAAACTCTATATGGGGCAAATCTCAAATAAAATCTAAAAATTTAAACTATTGACTTTTTAAAAAATTGTGTTAAATTTATGCGTCCACTTACATACACGTATGCATGTACATATGCATGTGTATTCCTAACAAAGAATAAAAAAAATTTGCTCCATCTCCTTCCAAATCAACATACATGCTTTTGTGTTTACATTGTTGTCGTTATTGATTTTTTTATATGTGAGAGTAAATGTACATGTTGTTCTTATTCTACTGGTGTCACTTACTTCATAAAGGTCTTCCTGCATTTCTTTAGAATCCTACTAGCATAATTTGATTACATGTTGTGAGAGTTAAGTTTGTAGTAATAAAAATATCTTTAAAAGAAATAAATACTCTCGACCATTAGTATCAACATTATTTTCTGCCTATATCATGCTCATTTATCTTTTGATCATAGCCTTAGGAGCAAGGAGAGAACCTTAGAGATTTCAATTGAACTCCCTTTTTCATTTTAGTAATAAGTAAGCCTAGGAACAGAAAAGGAAGTGACTTATCCAGAGTCTTATGTCACTCCACTCTCCCATCCCCACACCACACAACAGCTCACACATGAGGCTCTTCAGGTCAGCCAGATGGTTGATGAGAGATAAAATTCATATAGAGATGGACAATGTCCAAGCTCATAAATCTTTTAGAACATCCCTGATTCTTCAACTCAAACTGAACATATAAAAACAGTATTAAATCTCCTTAGGAAAACAAAATCTGTTTTCCCCTTACCAAAAAATAAAATAAAGGAGCAGCAGCAGGCAGTTTATTTTTCATATGATCATTAGTAACAACAAGCCAGTTCTGAGATTAAGCACCCTGATGCCAACCCTATCTTTGGAACAATGGGCTGAACAGGAATAATCAGGTAACTCAATTTGTGCTTGCTTGTACTCTAAAGAATCACTGTATTTCCAAAATGATTCTACTTACCTAGTGTTTTATAGTCAACTCTAGCTTTGAATGCTCTTATCCAAGACTGAAGTTTCACAATTTTCTCAATCTGGAAAAATTTGAGAAAAGTCACAACCGAGAAAAGTCAAATCCTCAGTACTGCAAGTTACTGTTAATTTTAACACCCCTAAATTTGGAATATGTAATATGTGGACATTGGCTGGCTGAGGTTTTTCTTTCTCTTATATACAAACTCTCTAAGCAAATGAATAGTGTAAATGAGATGAAAGGAAAAATGCTCAAATCGCTGAAGAATGGTTTGAAGACTTCAATATAGTGTTGGCATGTAAAGGTGGCACTAATTATAAATGTATCTATTTATTAAAAAGCTCTACCTCTCCCAGTGCTTACAATCTTCTTAAGGGAAGTGAATTTAAAAAAAAAATCACACATTAGTAGGTAGTTACTGAAGATAATAACAATCTCAATTCTTTAAATGCATACACATAAGTGCACAGTATTTGGTGCTAGCTTTCCTCCCAAGGAGTCTAAATTTGTGAGATTTCACTCTGTGTAAATAATGTCATGCCCACATGACATAGTAAGATTAAGGAATACAAGAGAGACAGCCCAATTACTGTACTGATCCCCAACAAAAGGAGACCTAGTGGTCCCAAATACTGGGCAAAGGCCCCCACGGAGGATTTATAGGAGAACATGGACAAAAATCCCATACAGGATAAGGCCATATGCATAAATGGCTGTACCAATGCAAGCTGTATCTACATCAAGAAGACCATAGATTCATTGAAACATTTAAGTCTAGTCACATCCACCATACAACGACAGTGATGAGTTTTATCAGCTGTCAAGGAGGAAAAAAAAATTTCTCTTACTTGTTGTTTGAAATAATGTTTTCGTGAAAGGTAACGGCTTCTTGCTGACATCATTCTGTACCAGGTTTGAATCTAAAAAGAGAAGTAACAGAAAATTCAACAAAACTCCATGCAGCTTTTCTTAAATTTAATACTAATATCTTATGTGATGATATCAAGAAAAGTATTTCATTTGGAAAACAAGATTTATTTTTCCTTCCACGTCTTCCATTGTATTTCCTCTATGGCACACAAAAGCACTTTATGTATTACTCTTTTTTTTTCTCCTTAACTTGTAGGATATAGTTAGGAGGACTAATTGTTAAGACATTTAAAGAGAGATAAAGAAATTTCCAAGATGGCAAGAGATTTGCCTGATCATTTCTGAGTGTTTGGAACTAAATCTAAATCTAAAATAAATAATCAATTAACCAACAAGCATTTAAGTACTCATGATGTGCCAGGCACTGTATTAAGTACAGAGAATTCAAAAATGAAAACAGTTCCTGCCCTCAAGCAGTGGTAATTCTAATAGGGGAGACAATGTATTAAAATAGGTAATCTTAGAGCAGAAGGCACCAACATCTAGTTGAGGAGGTGAGAGTTGGTAGTAATGGTAGTTGGAAAAGACCTCCTGAAATATGTGAGTCTTATCTTGAAGTCAGGGATTTTAGGAGGGAGAAGTGAAAAGGAAGAACATTCCAGGGAAGTAGAGATCAGGAAGATTGAAAAATGAGAAGAGGCCTTTAAATTTGACAAATATGAAGAAATCAATGGTAACTTTGGAGAGAGAAGTTTCAGTTGAATGACAAGGCCAGACGCCAGATTGCAGAGGGTTTAGAAAAGAGTAAAATAAAAGGCGAAGAAGAGAAGCTTTTTCAAGGGAGTTAGCTGAGAAGAGGAAGAAAGACACAAGAGGATGGCTGGCAATGATGGTAAGACCTAGTGATAATTTTGTCAAGATGAGTGGAGACATGGAAAAATTTGTAGGTAGCAGGGAAAGAGCCAATAGATAAGGAGAGGTAGAAGATTAGATCAAGAAGGGAGGTTGATAGTGAGGGCAATCTGTTAGAAGACATTGGGAGAGGATAGTAGACTGGACCTTAGCAAGGAGAAGGTCCATGTATTTATCAGAGAGTAAAGAATGGAGGAGAGGGTGAAGGATGATACCAGCGGGAAGTGAAATGACAATGGGAGAAAAGGGAGCTCTTGGCAATGACCTAATTTTTGCAAGGAAGGTGAAGTAGGAGTTAATGTTCTCATCTAATTGGTTTGTGGCTGTTGTGGGAGGCTTGAGGAGAGAAGAGAAGGCTTGAAATATATGCTATAGTGAGTGGACTAGAGAATCATTTAGAGAGAGGTAAAAGGAATGGCCTGCTGCACTCAGGTCTCAGATGAACCATAAAATATGAAAGAATCTTTACCTTAATAACAGAAGAAACATTATCAGCAAACAGTTTCTTCCTCTCAGCAAATTTTTTCTGCTCTTTGTAGCCCTTCCAGGAAGCCTAAATAAAAAAGAAAAGACAGGTTATAGTTTTATTTACTTGCAGTGAAGTTACTGATAACTAACTGGAAAGAAAAGAAAAGAAAAACGAGCAAATTCTTTTAGGAAGTACTGGGGGAAAAATCTATAATGGAATATCATGTGAGATCCTTTCACCTAATGGCTTCAGGCAAACTTTCATGACCTCAGTACCCTGGGCATAGTTTCTAGTAACGATCTTTGGTGTAGGGGAAGAGGCTAAAGTTAACTGTTTTTTTTAATATATAATATTTTATTTTTCCCCATTACATGTTAAAATAATTTTTTAACATTTGTTTTTTAAGTTTTGAGTTCCAAATTCTCTCTTTCCCTCTCTTCTTTTCCTCCTCCTTGAGATGGTAAACAATGAGATATAGATTATATGTGTGCAATCACGTAAAACATTTCCATATTAGTCATTTTGTACAAGAAGACTCAAAAAAAAAAAGTGAAAAGCAGCACACTTCACTCTGTATTCAGACAATATCATTCTTTCTCTAGAGGTAGATAATATGCTTCATCATTAGTCCTTTGAGATTGTCTCATGATTGAGATCATGGCATTACTGAGAATGGATGAACCAGTTCATAACTCCACCAAGAGTGCATTAATGTCCCAGTTTTCCCACATCCCCCCCCAACATTTATCATTTTGGTTTTTTTGCCACGTTAGCCAATTTGAAAAGTGTGATGTGGTACCCCCGAGATCTTTTAATTTGCATTTCTCTAATCAACCGTGATTTAGAGCATTTTCTCATATGACTATAGATAGCTTTGATTTCCGTGCTCGAAAACTTCCTATTCTTTCCTTTGATTACTTATCAATTGGGGAATGACTTATATTTTTTATAAATTTGACTCAGTTGTCTATATATTGAGAAACTAGGCCTTTATCAGAGCTATTTGTAAAAATTTCCCCCAGTTTTCTGCTTTCCTTTTAATTGTGGTTGCTGTGTGTGTAAAAACTTTTTAATTTTATATAATCAAAATTATCTATTTTATATTTTGTAATGCTCTCTATATTATCTTTGGTTCTAAATTCTTCCCTTATCCATAGATCTGACAAATAAACTATTCCATGCTCTCCTAATTTACTTGCGGTATCCCTTTATGTGTAAATCATGGACCTATTTTGACCTTATCTTGCTATACATTATGAGATGTTGGTCTATATCTAGTTTCTGCCACACTGTTTTCTAGTTTTCCCAACTCAAGTAAACTGTTAATGCTTTCTCGAAGATCAGCAAAGCATAGGGAGGTCCCTTGCTATGAGGTATTAGTCTAAATCTCTCCCCACTAAGTCCATAAAGGGAAGTAATTGGAGTCTTTTCTAAATGAAATTAAAAACATGACTATCTGGTTCCCTAAATGACTATGTGCTGCCTCAGAACGACAACAAATAAATAGCTTTACTTCAGTAATGGGAAAAAGAAAACATACTACTAAAATGTCACCCTCCAAATCAGCACAGAAAATAGGAAAAACTCAGTAGTTAGCATATTTCATTGTTATCAAAAGCTCTCTCCTTTTATAAATGCTTACGACTAGAATATATCAATATAAGGGCACTTCATATATGTGCTCCAACAACCACCACACAACCTTCAGAATAAAATCTTGGTTCATGGGGGTTATAGTGTATAGTCAATGAACTACTGAATTGGGAGTGGGATTAAATTCCTGACTCTGGGTTCCAACTCTCTAATAGAGATATCCTTTGGATCTGTTAGAACCAAGGATAGGATTGCAAGTGTAATCAACATTTTCTTTCCCTTGATAATAAAACACCATGATTATAAAGGATCATAGGAAAATGTCAGAATTTCAAAGAAATGGCTCTGAAGAGTTAATGAAGAGAAACTACAACAACTCTAAAATTTGCCATGGCAGATGCAATGATTAGGAAAATAAGTATGTGAGAATCACGTCCACTATATTTGCTTATGATCTGCATTCAATGTCATGAAATTCCTTGCTCCTCTTCCCTACCAAGATTGCATAAAATAAGAAATGTCAGGAATCTCAAAATAAAGATGTATGAATTTTACAGTAATTTTAAACGAAGAGAGGAGTGGAAGCTTGAGTCTCATGCCTGACAAATTTCTGGAATAGATTATTAAAAAGAGTCATCACTAAATGAAAACATGGACTCACTAGGAACAAGTGATTGTCTTTAATATGGCCCCTCCTTCTTCACCTGTTGAAATATTTTTTATATCCTTTAAAGCCGATACAAGCAGCATAGTGGCTTTGGAGTCAGGAAGACCTGGTTTAGTTAAAACTGTGCTTCTGATACCAACTAGCTGAGTGACCCTGGGGGAGTCACTTACATCTCGAGAAATAAGTCAGGCAAGTGACTTGAACCTCTTTACAACTTTTAGGTTGGCTGCAATCTGTGTTGATGGAGTTCCCAGTGCTGATTATTTACCCATTTGTCATGTATTCTGATTAATGCTTAATTCAAATGTCACTTCTCCATGAATTTTTTCCATGATCCCACTGTAATTCACAACCTTCCCCCTCAGACCTCATGCTCTACTTTGCATTCTTACAATGCAGTTTGGTGATAAGTGCATTACAAGTTGTGATTTTTTTCTCTACTAAACTCCATTTGGGCAGGTGCTATATCTTATCTAAACTTCCTATCTCTCTCACTACCTAGCACAATGCTTTGTCCACAGCAAGTATTTAATAAATGGTTGTTGAATGGAGGAATGAATGTCATGCCAAATTTAACCTGTCTTAAAAAAACAAAAACAACTGAAATAAATACCAGACTGGTAGTTCATGAAATGGCAGACAAAAGAATCAGATTTCATATCCTGATTGCAACAAAGCATCTGATAATTTCATGATTACTGGACAGAGAAATGGGGATCAAATAATATTAGAGTTGGATAACTTTATAGATAGTTGAATAACCATACCCTAAAATGATGATGATAGCTGTTCATCTGAAGGGAGACCTCTAATTGCATACTACAAAACTCTCTTTCACTTTGTCCAGTTTAATATTTTTATCAATGGCATTTAAATACTATGGTGGGATCATAGAATTAGAACTAGAAGGGATTTCAGAGACCATTATTAAAAAACCTCCTCATAATACAAATTAGGAAAATGAGGCCCAAGAACATGGAACTGTCCCAAGATCACAACGCAATAAGCATCAGAGGAGGAACTGTCACTGTGTTTTATTTAACTGAATGACTTGGACTGAGGCCTTGAAAATGTGCTTACAAAATTTGCCAATGATCAAGTAAAAAGTTTAAGAGATACTTTCCCAGTTGTCTATTAGACATTTCTTACTCAGAAATGAAATAACTTTATAAGATTAAGATCCATTTCCAAGTAGATAAATAGCCAAAAAATGTAAACAGGCAATTCTTAGAAGAAATATAAACTATTACTAATGACAGAGAAGTGTTCAAACTTTTGGTAATCAAGAGAGAAAGCTTAGTTATAATAAAATTCAATCTTGGTGAAACTTGGAAGCAAAAGACACACTATTAGTACACTGTGGCTAGAATAGCTTTAGGCTGCCAACAGCCTACCAGTGCCTTAGATTCAATATGTCCCAAACTAAAGTCATCACCTTGAAGGGCAAACTTTTCACTTCTTCTTGACCTCCCTCTTTCTGCTATTGGTATCACCACCTTTACTGATCATTCAAGTTCAAAATTAATATCTTTCTTCCTACATATCTAGGTGCCAAATTCTCCTCCTCATGGAATAAAATAAAAAAGACATCCTCCTTTGGTCTCAATAAATTTATTAGACTGCAAGCTCCTGGAGGACATGGATTGTGTTTTTTGCTTTATTATTATCCCCAGCATTTAGCACAGTGCCTGGCACATGGTTAAGTGTTTAATAAATGCTTGCTGATTAATTGATTGAAGAGAAAGGAGCTAGCCATGTGCCTGATTCTCTACCAGACTATTAGAGACTTCTCTAATTGGATGTCAATTAACATGATGTGGTAGTCTGAGGCAGAAATAAGAAATAAACCCACTACCACTCTTGATATTCTCATCTGTCAAATCATTGAGTCTCTCAAAGATTATGTAACCATGGACTTTGGCTTAAAAATAAACAGGAATACAATACAGGAAATGCATTGTCAGAGTCCTGAAATAGCATACATAATGAGTTACTGAAACCTATTGAAAAAAGATAAATTAATAGGAGCAGTTTTAAAAAAGACCTGAAGTTGGGCTCTCAAGTGATTCAAGGAAGGAATTTTATTTTGAGTCTTCCCTTTTGTCTTCCTACAGAGAGAAAGCAGCCCACGAGACTGACAAAGCATCACAAGGAAAGTTATGTTCGAACCATGATGGTATGATTATTTCTTAATATTGCTGGGGAAACACCACTTCTCATTTATTAGATTGTAAAAGATGACAAAAAAGGAAAATGACAATTTTGGGGGGATGTTGTGGGAAGACAGGCATAGTTTGACTGTTGGTGAAATTTTGAATTGATATGAGATGATCTGGAAAGCAATTTGAAATTATGCCCCAAATATCACTAAATTGTTGATATCCTTTGACCTAGAAAATATTATAACCAGACCTATGCCGCAAAGAGATCAGAGAAAAAGGAAAAGGACACCCACATGTACAAAAATACTTGTAGCAGCATTTTTTTAAAGTAAATGGAAATAAAGGAAAGATCCATCATTCAATTAATAAACACTTATTAAGCCACTATTATGTACCAGACACTGCGCTAAGTGCTGTTATGTAATGGCTGAACAACTAATGATATATGAATATAATTGAATACTATTGCACTTTAAGAAATTATAAGAGGTACAATTCCCTGAGAAGGCTAAGAAAACACATGTGCACTAACTGATGCAAAGTGAACTGAGCAGATCCACAACAATATAAATTATTAATAACAACAATAGTGTAAAAAGGAACACCTTTGGAAGACTGAAGATACGATGGCCAACTAGATTCCAGAGGACCTGTGGTGAAGAATATCACCTACCTGCTGATAGAGGATGGACTCAATATACAAAAGGACACATATCTATTCATGACATGTTTAATATGTGGATAATATGCTTTCTTTGATGATGCCTATTTGTTACTCTGATCTTGAATTCTAGACTTCTAGATGGATATCCAGTTCCATTCCAGAACTTCTTTCTAGGGAAGCTCTGCCAACATGGAAATAATTTCTTTTTCTTCACAGTCATGATACCATTGATATTTTTTTCAAATGAGTATAAAATAGTATCTGAATTATTTTAATTTGCATTTCTCCAACAGGAATTTTGAATATTTTTTTCACGTAGCTATTGATAAAGTTGTTTCTTTTCCCTAGAAGTATTTGACTCATATCTTTTGACCACTTATGGATCTTATTCTTATTAAGTTGATGTTAATCCTTATCAACCCTAGATGGAAGACTGTTAATCAGAGTTACTACTACAACTATAACTATAATAACAACAACATTTCCCTTACTTCCTTGATTTTGAGGGGAACTAATGGCTTTCGTTGTGCACTCTTTATTTTTATTTAAAAGAAGCTGTATATATATTTCCTGCCTCTTACAATCCTGCCTCTGACATCTATTATCTGTCTCTTTTACTTTGGGTAAATTACTTGCCGTGGTAGTATTCCTCCTCTTTAAAATGAGAGTTGGAATAGATGGCATCTGAGATCCCTTTCAGTTCTAGATTTATGATCCTATGATTTCTTCCATTTGTTGGTTAGCTATAAAATTTGACCTCCTGTGACAGATATAACATTTCATTATCTTCTAATTTTTAAGTATGATTTCTTTTAAATTTAGGTCATTGATCCTTTTGGAATTTTATTGTGGTATACAGCGTTTAATTCCATTTTTTTTTACCAAGTTCTTTTTTTGTTGATAATGAACTTCTTCCCCAGTGTTTTTTTGTCTTAAATTTATGGAACTTCAGCTGCTTCTATTTCACAGTTATCTACTTTGTTCCATTGGCCTGTTTTTCTAGTTTTTGATAGAATTTAGATAAATAAGACTTTATAATATTAACTATAAAAATTTAATAATGTGAGATCTGTTAGCATAATTTGGAATCTTCATAATTTTCTTTGATATTCTATCAATTTGTTCTTTCACAAGAATGTAATTTTGTTTAAATCTATGAAATACTCAATTAGTATTTCGAATGATATTGCACTAAATTTTTGGATTAATTTGGGTAGTACTGCTAGCTTCATTAGATTGGCTCGATCCAGCCACAGACCTTAAACTTTTCAACAATTATATTATTCTTCCTTTATTTCTTAAGAAAAAAAAAAGGTTTATTTTTGTTTGTAGATCTTCTCTGTGTCACCCTAAGGTAATGCCCATGTATTTGATACATTCTGAAGAGAGGCACGTCTGATCAGTCTCTCTATATAATTTGTTGCTCCCAAAGGAAAAGATACTTAATAGTTAATGAAAAGAAGGAAGAGAAGTGTTCTCTGAGTGCAATGCAGAAAATGAAGACTGACTTCAGATTGGCATCAGCTTTTAGGCAAGAAGGATTGAATTCAAATACGTCATTTCTTTATTGCTAACATCCCTAGATGTAAATGAAAAATGTGTGAGCTTCACAACAGAAGGATGGACAATCAGAATTATATTTTCATACTTCAGTGATGTGGATTTCAACAATTTACTTAAATCAGAACACATCTAAGCTAGGGGAAAAGATGATCCTTTTGATAGGCAAGAAGAAGTCACTATGAGACTAGGAATGAAAACTTGGTATCTTACTGATTCCAGTAAAGACTTTTGGATTACAGAATCATAGAATGAGAACTAAAGGTCACTACAGATGGACTCCTCCATCCAACATTTTCACAGATCATGAAACTGAGGGTCAGAGGTTAAATAACTTGTCCAAGGTTCTACAGGTTAATAAGTAGTAGGATCAGAATTGGAACCTAGCTCTTCTGACTCCAAATATAGTACTGTATCATTACACTGTACCAGGCTATGAACCTTAGGAATGAGGAAGGAACACCCTTGAAGCTTTTATCCTGAAATGAAAGCTGGTAATTCTACCTCATCTGTTTTTTCCCCTCTTACCAGAGGTCAGAGAATATACAATATCCTCTTACCCACTGGCAAATTAGAAGTCCCAAACACAAGTGGACATTAGCAGATGCCTATATTGGCCAAAGGTTGGGAAGGTCCAAATACACAAACCTCCCCCCCAAAACCCTGCTTTTTCCTCATAATTAACTTTTAAAAATTAATATTGTGTCTAGAAAATTTGACAACCACAGGAACAAATCATTCAATACCGATGACAAAATTTTCCAGTTAGTTCACAGACCTGTATTTTGACCACAGAAGGTTCATGTTCACATAAGAAAGCTTTTCTTTCTTCAAATTCTTTCTTAACATGGACCAATAAAGGTGTTGAATCATCCACATCTTCACTGGAAGACCACAGTTTCTCCATAAGGTAGCCTTCTGTCATTTTAACAATGAGATCCTAGTGAGACATTTTTATATGGTTATACTTAATAAAAGTTTAAGTAAAATGGAATATTTCATGACTTCTATCTCAATTATTATGGATTCTTCTTTGGTTATCTTCAAGAGGAACACAGAATCTCCTCTGAACATCTCCCCTGACCCCTACAGAAATGAAAAGAGAGGCATTCTTCTGAACTGGTCTAAATAGAGTCTTTCTCAAAGGCAGGGTGATCGATGGCCCTCTTGCAGCACTTGCTAACAATGTGATTTGGGGATTCTCTGATTATTATAATTTTCTATGCCCTGCTTTATTCTTGAGATTACTTAACACTTTACTGTTTCATATTTTTATTTCTATCTTATTCTCTCTATTACTTTCACCTTAGCCACCTTTGATATGGCAATGTTTTGGCTATTTATCGGTCAATGATACCTGGTAAAAATAGCCTCCCTGAAAGTTCTTTTGCTCTACCATATTCTAGCTATTTTTCAGAGTCAGTCATAAGAAGTGAGGATGACTATTATCAATCTCCTAATACAGAGGCAATGGTCTCAAGGTGCGGGAAGACACATTTTTGGACATGGCCACTGTGTATGAATTCATTTTGTTTGATTATGTTTATGTTACAAGGATGTTTTTCCTTGGTTTTTAATTAGGATGGGTTAAGGGAAGAGAGCAAAAGTAGTAGGTTTGCAATAACGATTCCCCTCCCATAAAAGAAGATTATTAAAAGAAAGTTGTTTTTTTTTTTAATACACAGAAAAGAACAGAAATAAGCTCAGAAGGAAGCACACACTAGGACAGTTTTGAAAATGTGATTTGGAATTTATTCTATACTTTTTTTTTAAAGACCATATGAAATGTCCCTCAATGAAGTTTGTATTTAATCCTAGGGGTAACAGAAAGCCACTGGAGTTTACTGAGGAGGGGAATGAGACAGATAGACTTTGCTTTAGGAATGTCACCCTGGCAGCTGTCTGGAGGATGGACTGGAGAATGGAGGCAATCTGAGTAATTAGAAGGCTATTACAATAGTCCAGGAAACAAAGGATGAGGACATATTATAAGGTGGTAGCCATGGGAGTTAATGGATGTGAAAGATGTTGGGAAGGGAAAGACCTCACAATTTATTGGCTTTGATTGATGAAGGACAGTGAGGATAAAAGGATGATTACAAGGCTGGGAAGTTTAAAATAAAATAGGGAATTCTGCTTTAGACAGGTTGATAATGAAATGCTTATGGGATATTCCGCTTGAAATGTCCAAGAGACAGTTGAAGATGTGCAAGTGAAGTTCAGGGAGGAGACTACTGCTAGCTAGCTAGCTAGATAGATACATACATACATACATACATACATGCATGCATACATGCATACATATACACACACATAGAAGGAAGGAAGGAAGGAAGAAAAGAAAGAAGGAAGGAAGGTAGGAAGGAAGAAATGGAAAGGAAGAGAAGGAGGGAAGGAAGGAAGGGAGGGAGGGAGGAAGAAAGGAAGAGAAGGAGGGAAGGAAGGAAGGAAGAGAGGAAGGGAGGGAAGGAGGGAGAAAGGGAAGGAGGAAGCTATCTGGAGTAATTTGTTTAGAGATGATAACTAAAACAATGGGAGCGGTCACCAAGTTAGAGAGTGTAGTTAGAGAAAGGAAAAGGACCTAGGACAGAGCCTTGGGGAGTATATTCAGAGTTCAAGGGAACAATATGGATGATAATCCATCAAAGGAAACTAAAAAGGGGTAGACAGACATGAAGGTGGAGCAGCATCATGAAAATCCAAAGAAGAAAGTACATACAGGTAGTTAACAGTGGTGTTGTTGTTCATCTGCAGCATTTGACAGGATTTCAAGACAACCTAACAGAGGCAAATGCTGCAGAAAGAAGGATGAGGATTAGATAAAGGAAATCAGACCAGGAAATCAGGCAATCACTGAAGACTTTGGAGACTGGTATGATTATAAGCCATATTTCAAATAGCTGAGAAGAGGAGATAAAATGGAAGAACTGAATATAAACAGTTTAGAAGAAATCACTTCCAGATGGTTCAGGGAATGGGATAGAAAAGGAAGGCAAGGGAATTATTACCAGGGAAAGATTCATGAAGGAAGAAGTATTTGTCCTAGACCTGGAAAGACTGTCCTGTGTATTGAGACATGGGTAAATGCTTACTAGTTCATTAAAAGCAGGCCAAAACATTGCCATATGAAAGGTGGCTAAGGTGAAAGTAATAGAGAGAATAAGATAGAAGTAAATCTGTAATCTGAACAGGAAGGATGAAGTTGGTGGAGCTTTTGAACTTGGAAGTTCTGACCTGCAGCAAGCTAAGCCTATTGGGTATCCACATTACATTAGACATGTTCTGGGAGTGGGGGCCTGTGGGGTATCTAAAGAAGAGTGAAGCAGCGAAGATTGGAAACAGAGCAGATTAAAGCTCCAATATTTATCAGAGTGGAATAAGGCCTGTGAGTAGCTCCTATACTTCCAGCCTAGGTGACATAGGTAAACCCAATCTTAAAACATATACTCTTCAAACTCAACAGTTTGTCATAGAATAGGAATGAAAACTAGATAAATGGGTATGATGCTAAGAGATCAGGATTGAGCAGGAAGGCAATATAAATCTGTGTGTTCATTTGTAATAGGATAATATCTCTCTATACCGATTCCTCAAATAAATTTGTTATTGGTAGTTCCTGTTACCTCAAAAAACAAAAGAAAACAAAAATCCATTCCTCTTCAAAAGAAAAAAATAAACACAAGGACTCTCCCCTTATTGACTTCTCTGCTAAGTCCTTTTAGAGACTGAAAATAAATTCCATACCATACCTTAATTTCACGCTGTGACAGCCAAGATAATTTCTCTCCATAATCTTCTGGACAAATCCAGGTACCCACTCCTGTTTCTGTGTTGTAATAGTAGTTATAAATATCATGCAATGTGAATTTAAGCCATGGGCCTTCCGTAGTCACTAAATGCAAAAACAGGAAACATTCCATTGAAAATGAAGACAGAAGACTTAACGGCAATGTAATCCTCTCTTCAACATATGAAATATCAAGAAAGTATTTAACGAGAAACATTGAGATGATCTAGTCATAGTTGCTAGAAACGGACTCCTGACGTGAAAGGAAGCTTCATTGTGGACTAAGGAGCTACTTAAACTGTTTTTTATTTTTATGGGCTTCTCTAGCATTTAAACAAAACCTAAAATATGTATTGTGATTTATTCCCTGCATACATAACTGAAGGAAATGCTAAATTCTAGTTAGGTGTAAGTAAAAATAAAGATGCAATTTTTTTCACTTATAAGTTCATGAACACTCCGAACTATAGCTATAATCCCCTGAGAGTTAAGAACCCCTACTTGCAATGCTCAAAAGCCAAGCTGCACACACAATATGGTTTGGGAGGTGGGAAGGGGGAGATGGAAAGAATACCACAGAAGGAGAGAGAAAAGTGCAAACGATTTTTCATCCTGAAACCTACATTTTGGCAGGTGAGGATAAGATTTCAGCACAGGCTGGAGGTGGGGAAATTGCATAAACAGAGGAGGAGAAAAGTGACCACATGCCCTAAACTCTCTGTAGGTGAACATTGGTAGCATGAACCTTCTTGCTTGATCCTTTGGCTTTCCTGAAGAGCTCATAATATACTCTTGGGGGGAAGGGAATTTTTGTCTTTGTTTTTCTCTTTGTCCTCACAGCATCTGTCATAGTGCCTGGCATAAAGCAGATGCTTAAGAAATGCTTGTTGAACAAATGAAGAGCTCTTTCTTACTCCATGATCCTGATAGATAATGAAAAATGTTATAAATATATTTTGGTTATTGCCATGAGAGTGAATACTGACGCCATAAGAGAATATTTCTGAGTATAAAATAGCATGTGCAGATTAGAAGGCAGCTGAGTGAAGCGGATAGAATGTTGGACCTGGAGTCAATAAGGCCCATCTTTAAATTCAGCCTCAGATGTTTACTAACTGTGTGACCCTGGGCAAATCACTAACCTCTGCCTGCCTCAGTTTCTTCCACTAGGAAATGCAGACAACAATAGCACCTACCTCCCAGGATTGTTGTGAGGGTCAAATAAGACAATATTTGTAAAGTGTTATGTACAATAATTTTTTATTATTTTTATTATGAGAAAGCCATCAGCTACCCTTAAAATACACACAGGCTTAATTAGGCATGTTAAATGAGAAGGTAGTGAAAATGGCTTTTAACTTATCTGTTCCAAATCATTTAAATATTTGTTTCTTGATACTCTCAGAAAGGAGGCTTAAGCAGTTTGGAAATCCATGAGTTAGGATGAGAAAGTAGGCCAGACCTCCACATGCTTCAGCACAGCCCAGGGCAAACAGGCACCTCCAAGTGGCCAGACCACCAGGTGCTTCAGTGAATCCCTGGGAAATGCAGAAACACCTCATGAGGTAAGATGTCACATCCCTATGGCTTCCAACAGCACCAGCCAACCACCACCCCACCCTCATCCCCATAATACAGGCATCAGACACAAGGGTCCCCTGTGGGCCTCAGGGCAAGACCAGTGTACCACTAGGTAAAAAGGCAGGGCCTGCAGCCACTGGCACAAGGAGCCTGAGACAGAGCCCCTTCCACCCTGGGAACAGAGATCAAATTTAAAAGAAAGGAAAAAGGCCAAAAAACAGACGAGCAGAACAAACAACAATAACAAAAAACAAACAAAAAACCAGAATCCCACCACAGAAAGTCATGGTGACAGGGAAGACCGAGACACAAACTCAGGAGAGGACAACAACGTCAAACACCTGTGGGCAAAGGGGCAGCTAGGTGGTGCAATGGATAGAGCACCAGCCCTGAAGTCAGGAGTTGCTGAGTTCAAATCCTGCTTTAGACCAAACACTTGACACTTGTTTAGCTGTGTGACCCTGGGTAAGTCATTTAATCCCAATTGCCTAAAACAACAACAATAACAATAAACAGCTATGGACAAAACCCCAACAAAAAACAGGAAATGGTCTCAAGCCCAGAAAGAACTCAAAAAACTCAGAACCTCAAAAAGGAGCTTGAAAATCACATAAAAGAGGTAGAAGAAAAATTGGGATAAGAAATGAGAGCAATGCAAGAGAATTATGGTGAAAGAGTCAACAAAAGAGCTTGGAATAAGAAAACAATTGCTTAAAAAGTACAATTGGCTAAATGGAAGAGGAAATACAAAAATCCACTGATGAAAACAACTTAAAAAGCACAACTGGCCAAATACAAAATAAAGTAGAAAAGCTAAGTGAGGAAAATAACTTAAAAGTCAAAACTGGTCAAGTGGAAGCTAATGATTCTATGAGATATCAAGAATAAAAAAAAATATCAAAACAATGAAAAAATGGAAGAAAAAATAAAGTATCTCATAGGAAAAACAATTGACCTAGAAAATAGATCTAGGAGAAACAATATCAGAATCATTGGACTACCTGAAAGCCATAATCAAAAGGAGGACCTGGGGCAGCTAGGTGGCACAGTGGATAGAGCACCGGCCCTGAAGTCAGGAGGTCCTGAGTTCAAATTTGGCCTCAGACCAAACACTTGACACTTACTAGCTGTGTGACCCTGGGCAAGTCATTTAATCCCAACTGCCAAAAATAAAAAAAAAAAAAACTGAAACAAAACAGAACAAAACAAAAGGAGGACCTGGACAGTATCTTTCAAGAAATCATCAAGGAAAATTGCCCTGATGCCCTGGAAGCAGAGGGCAAAATAGGCATTGAAAGAATCCACTGATCACTGCAGGAAAGAGATCCCAAAATAAAAACTCCAAGAAATATTATAGCCAAATTTCAAAACTATCAGGTCAAGGAAAAAATGCTACAAGTGGCTAGAAAGAAACAATTCAAATATGGGGGGGTCACAATCAGGATTACACAGGACTTGGCAGCTGCAAGATTAAAAAAGATCATGGAACATGATATTCTGGAAGGCAAAGGAGCTAGGATAACAACCAAGAATCACTTAGCCGGCAAAATTAAGCATTAATTTTTTAAAATGGTTATTCAATGAAATAGAAGCATTTCAACCAAAAATTTGAACTCCAATATCAAGACCCAAGAGAAGCATAAACAGGTTAAATGGAGTTAAACTATTTACATCCCCAAGGAAAGATGATACCTGTAATTCTTAAAACAGTATCACTAATAATACAGTTAGAAGGAATATACACAGACAGAGGGTACAGGTATAAGGTAAATTTGAGGGAATGATATAAAAAAATTTAAGGTATGAAAAGAGAAGTACAATAGGAGCAGAAGGAAGGAAAAGGTAGAATGGGGTAAATTATTTCACACAAAGAGAGGTACAAAAGGCCTATTACAGTGGAGAGGAAAATGGGAGGATGGGCAATGAGTATCTCTTGAGTCTTACTCTCATAAGCATTGGCTCAAAGAGGGAATAATATAGAAATTTATCTTACCCAACAGGGAAGTAAGAGTGGAGATCATCAAGTAAAGAGAGGATTGACAGAAGGGAGGCAGATCAGGGGAGGTGGTAAGACAGAAGCAAAACACTGGTAAGGAGGGAAAGGGTGAAAGGAGAGAGAAGACAGACAGGAAGAAGAATAGGATGGAGGGAAATAGTAACCCTAACTATAATGCGGATGGGGTAAACTCTCCCATAAAACAGAAGTGGATAGTAGAGTGGATCAAAAACTAGAATCCTACAATATATATTTTACAAGAAACATATCTGAAGGGGCAACCAGGTGGTGCAGTGGATAGAGCATTGGCCCTGAAGTCAGGAGGACCTGAGTTCAGATCTGGCCTCAGACCAAACACTTGACACTTACTAGCTGTGTGACCCTGGGCAAGTCACTTAACTCCAATTGCAAAAACAAACAAACAAATAAAAAAAAAACCAAACCACCAAACAAAAAATAGAAACAACTTGAAGCAGAGAGACACACACAGAGTAAAGGTAAGGGGCTAGAACAGAATCTATTATGCTTCAGCTGCAGTAAAAAAAAGCAAGGGTAGCAATCCTGATCTCAGACAACGTAAAAGCAAAATTAGACCTAATTAAAAGAGATAAGGAAGGAAACTACATATTGCTAACAGGCACCATAGACAATGAAGCAATATTGATACTAAACATATATGCACCAAGTGGTATAGCATACAAATTCTTAAAGGAGAAATCAAGTGAGTTACAGGAAGAAATAGACAGCAAAACCATATTAATGGGGGGACCTCAACTGTCCCCTCTCAGAATTTGACAAATTCAACCAAAAACTAAACAAGAAAGAAACAAAGGAGGTAAACAGAATATTAAAAAAAGTTAGATATGATGCACCTTTGGAGAAAACTAAATGGGAACAGAAAGGAATATACATTTTTCTCAGCAGCACATGGCACCTACACAAAAATTGACCATGCAACAGGGCATAAAAACCTCAAAATCAAATGTAAAAAGGCAGAAATAGTAAATGTATTCTTTTCATATCATAATGTAATAAAAATTACATTCAACAAAGGGCAGTGGAAATGGTTAAAAATTAATTGGAAACTAAATAATTTAATCCTAAAGAATGAGTGGATCTAAGAACAAATCACAGAAACAATAATTTCATTAAAGAGAATGACAACAATGAGACAACACACCAAAATTTGTAGAATGCAGCTAAAGAAGTACTTAGGGGGAATTTTACATCAACAAAGTAGAAAAAGAACAGATCAATGAATTGGGCATGCAACTAAAAAAAGAAGAAATTTAAAACCCTTAATTGAGCTCCAAATTGGAAATCCTGAAAATTAAAGCTAAAAAAAAAACTATTGAGCTAATAAATATATCTGGGAGCTGGTTTTATGGGGAAAAAAACCCAATGAGATAGATAAGTCATTGGTTAGTTTAGTTAAAAAAAAAAGAAGAAAACCAAATATCCAGTATCAAAAATGAAAAGAGTAAAATCACCATCAATGAAGAAGAAATTAAAACAATCATTAGGAAAG